CTCAAACCACACGCCACCCTCCTACCGTCGCTCCTCTCGCCGCGGTCTCCTCTTCGCATCGTGCCCCGCTCGGCCTTCACTGCAGCGGGGAGACACCACGGAGCGCCGTCGGAGATGCAGCCGGGGGACCCCGTCGTTGGGACCCTGGGAGCCCAGGACCCCGGAGCCTGGCGGGGCCGGGTGGGCCTGCCCGGTTTCCCCGGGAGCCCAGCGGCTGGAGAGCCCCCGGAGCTGGGAGGCGGGAGCCGTAGGGCCCCGCTCGGCACCGCGTTGGCGCCTCCTGGGGTCGCGACTGCAGCAGGGTGCGATGGGAGCGGGAGGAGAAGGGAGTTAGGGACCGCGACAATTCACAAGCACCCTGGCGGAATGCATCTTCTCTCTCTCTCTCGCTGCAGCCACGAAGCTGCTGCGGGGGGGCGGGAATCGCGTGCGAGGTTTTTCAGAGCCCTTCGCAAGTTGGACGCGGTCCCCCGCGGGGCTCAACAGAGCGGCCTCAACAGCAGCGTCACGTTCAGACGTGTGGGACGCGGCCGAGGCGAAGCTCGCGCCGGGAGGCGTTCGTCGCGGGCATCGAGGAAACACCTCGGGGCAGTTCCTTCCTGCGAGCAGAGCAATTGTTCTTCTCTTGTCTTAGGCCACCATCAAAATTAATTTGAGCCAATGTGATCGGTTTCGGACTCGTTGGGACTCATCGGCACAGTGCAGTCACCGATGGTCTGCAACAGGAATGCGCCTTGTGGCACCGGCGTGAAAGGACGTGCCGAGAGGGACGGAGGCGCGTAAGGGGAACACAGACAGAGAGAGAGAGAGCGCGAGAGAGAAACCCGCACTGAGACACAGAGCAACACAGCATGACGATGACACAGAGTCGAGAGACGTTGACACACACACAGAGGTGAGGTGCACACAGATCGGTGAGGTCTACATAGATGAGTAAAGACAGGTACAGACTGCGATAGAGAAAGGGATAAGTAGAGACCGAGATACACACGGTGATACAGAGACAAACTAAGATGAGCAAGATACAATGATATGAATAGCTAGTCACAGCGACACGTACGGAGACAACCACTCTCCCACTCCTGCCATGACCCTTTTCCCTGACTGGTGACCCCTTGATTTTGAAGTCGTGGTCCCACACAACCCAATTTCATACTTCATGCTCACCCCTGGCCACTACACTACTGCACTATATCACTTCACTACCACTCCTTGGGTTGCGAGCCAAGTGAGATGGCCAGCTGTTCCACCAGACAGCTACAAAGTTGACTAAATGCAGACTGAACACTTCCGTGACCTCTGAACCCAAATGAGATGAAGCTGATGTTCCTTGTCCACCTTAGACGGATATCTTGAGCAGCCTGAACACCCAGCTCCACCTTTCATCACACGCATTCTGTGAACATTACAGAGCATTGAGCCTCAACAAAAAGTTAAATTCTGTGTGTGCCCAGCAAAGGGCTGTGCTGTAGTGATGGTTATGGTGTGGGTGGTGGTCAATGTGACTGTAATTTGGCAATGAAGATGGCAATGATGGTTTCGATGGTGGTAATGGTTCTAGTGGTGCTGTTGATGATAATACGATTGTGGTCATATACATTATAACGATGAATCGGATCGTGTTTTCTCATTCCTGAAATCCGTAAAGTGTGTTAGACTAGGGTATATCTCCAAGCAGTGATATTTGTAGTTTGTTGCATCTCCACACAATTGAGTAGCAATACACAAAGTGATATCTGGACAGGAAAAGTCTAAATTTGTGAATGCTCTAATTTACATTTGGTTGTTTTTGCTCTGATTAATATGTCGCATTGTTGTACTTATTGCTTATGTAATTTTGGTCACCCAGGTCACCTTTACAAAGGAGACTCCCAAGCTTTCAGTTATCTTGCCTGGTTCACGGTGGCTGCACCGGACGGCGCTGAGTGACGTGATGATTCACGCGTTTCGTGAATGCGTCCCTGTACTCTGGTGGTGACGTCAATCTTCAACTCAGCAGTTCTACAGAATCCAGCTTTCACTTGAATTCTGTATGTTTTTTTTTTATATACCGGGATTATCAATATCGCGATGACAAAGGGTGATCGTCCACCATGGTTTGATCCAAACATCTCTGAATTAATGAAAACTAAAGAAATAACTTGGAATAATGCAAAAACACAAAACAACCTTTCTGATTGGATTATCCATAGATCACTGAGAAATAGGTTTACTAGCCTAATAAGAAACGCTACATTTTCATACTTTCATAAAACTATATAAATTCACAAAAAAACAAGACTTATAGCAAGCATTCAATTAACTTGCAAACAAAGGAAAAAAATGTTCTACCAAAAAAATTACTGAATGGCAAAGAACTGTTCACAAAACAAGACATTGTCAATGGATTTAATTCTCATGGATCAGCAGGACGTATCTGACAAAACACATCAAAGTACAATTTATCCAAATACTGTACACTACTATTCACATCACTCCTTCCTCTTCACACACCAACCATGTTAGTGAAACTGTATGTACTGCATTAGCTCATAATTTAAGACCGTCATCCACGGGAGAACATGAGTTGCCTGCATTCGCACATGTGACTGTGGCAGATCTAATCTATTAAACCCCTCACACACATCTTGAACCTCTCACTTACCGAAGGTGCAATTACACTGGAGTGCTATTATTTATACAATTTATAAAATATCTCCAAAGAAGACCCTGATAATTATAGATCAATCTCTATTCTTTCAACAATTACTAAAATATTTAAAAAAATACTTAAATCACAAATAAACTGCTACCTAAAAAGTCACAATCTCCTGCACAGTAAATATTCTGGTTTTCAAGAGCATTACTGCACCACCACAGCAATAATGGACGTATTAAATGTTCTATTCAGTTACCTGGATAAAGGTCACTGTAGCTGTGCACTATTCCTTGACTTGGCAAAAGCTTTTGACACTGTTGACCATGATATTCTACTCGCAAGATTGTCAAATAAAATTTTCAGCCAGTACAATCAAATGTTTTTTTGAGTTACCTTTCAGACCGTTCTGAAAAGGTAAATAACGTCGTTCATTTTGATTTAAAGCTTTCGTGACTGCAGGGATTCATATTCTTGGTTCTTTCGGTAAAGTCACGTAGAAGGGAAACAATACAACGCCGTGAGAATTTTATTGTTTTATATTTGTATTTTATTGTTTCCCTTCTACGTGACTTTACCGAAAGAACCAAGAATATAACGTCGTTCATATTAAAATAACAGGATGTTCTAGAAGGTTCCGTGCTGGGTCAAATTCTGTCCTTATATTTATACAATCTTGAACTCAATTAAAATCGCTCAGAATTAAATAGTTTGGCCAATGGTGCGTATACTAGTGTAGTGATCAATCTCTGTTGTACAGCAGCTGCAAGTGCAGGTGGGCACTCAGCGCACACGCCGCTAAGTATATACGCGGGTGTGCCGGTAAGGCGGAGGAACTGCGACAAGGGTCACGGTAGACCTTGTGGGGAAGCCCCTGGAACCCTCTGGTGGGTTCGAGAATGGAGGCGTGGCTAGATCGGAGCCAAGCCGCGCCGAGGGGAATATAAGCAACTGAGAGCGAGAGCTCCGGGCTGGCGGTTCTAGGATTGGACTCATTTAGTTGTCGCTGTCGTCGCCGCCCTCGTCGCTGCCGCCTTCGTCCGATAATTGCGCGGCTGAACAGTAGTTGGCTGTCCCGGTCGACGCCGTCAGTGCAATGCGGACAGGGTCGTGTCTGGGACGGGTCGCGCGGCAGCATGGTCGTGAGAGAGAGGGGGCCCGAGTGGTGGCGTGAACTCAACAACACTAAAAGGGGAGGACGGTGCCTCCTGCGACCACCTCGTCTCCGACTAAGTGTGTGTGCGATACACGCCACCTGCACGCACACACCAGCCTCGAGCAAGGGAACGAAGAGGAGACACACTACACTAGTATTGGGTACATCTCCAAACGAAGTCAAACAGAATCTCCAACATGATTTAGACTTAAATGTAAAATTGTAATCACTAAAATTGCTCCTAAATGCACAAAAAGTATACTGTTTTTTTCGTCCAAAAATCTATTTTAATTCCCTTGGGTTTACTGATTGATTCAAAACTTACATTCCGATCCCATATTGTTCACATCTCAAAGAAAAAATGTTTTTAAAACAGAAACAAAGATTATATTCCCATTATATTGTGCCTACAAATTGTTAAAGCTATTATTAAAACTATCATCGATAATACAGGTTTATTTGGGTTATAATTCTACCACTTTTTGAATACTGTGACACTTCTTACAGATCAGCTCATTATTCCCAATTGTCAAACCCAAGAAACCTAAGGAGTCCAATCAAATCGCCGTTTAAATATACTGTACCTATAACTAGATTTTGAATAGGTGAGAAAGTCTTTCGTGTTTCAAATTATATCCTGAAGCAGAAGATCAGTACTAGATATAGCAATCACATTTGCAAATATGATTTGTAACTTGAAACCTTACCCGTGTAGTATCGATAGTTCAATGTTAACGTGCCATATTATTGAGATTTTTGTGTGCTGTTATCTTGGTGTGGTCTGGGACTCTTTTTGTTGTTATTTTGCATTCCTATCGTTGTTTGTATTTCTTGCTGTTGTAACTTGCTGAACTACCCGTACTGGACATCTGTGAAAAAGATAATAGATAATCGGATACCTCCTCTATTCTAAATAAAGATTCTAATGATGCTGTACTGAACCCTCGTGACATCATGAATGACCGTTTTCATGCTAAATATGTCCATCATAAAATTGTAGTTGTTGTGAGATCGTTAAACCCGCCACCACCTGACACAGCCAATTAGTAAGGTTTGTCACGTAAACAAAACGTGCCAATTAGTTACGAGCTCAGCACTAACCGGTTGCGCGTCCCAGAGTAAACGTTCGACGTTCCGACGGCGATTACAACGCGAACACGCGGTAGGCGCTGTGACGTCACCACGCGGGGCGAGGGGGGGGTCACGGGGGTGCTGTGTCCGCGCATGCGCATTGCGGCCCGCACGCCGCTCTATTTAATTGCCCCCGCGCGGAACTGCCCCCGGCAGAGGGCGGCGAGCGAGCGAGCGAGCGGTCCGGTGTCTACCCGCGCACACGGCGCACTTACACCGCTCCCATCATCTCTCAGCAGCTCTCGGCTGTCTCCTCGCCGACCTCTCCCGTCCGCCGCCATGGGATCCAAGGCGTCGTCGCTGCTGCAGGACGAGGAGATCGAGGAGATCAAGCGGGAGACCGGATGTGAGTGTCCCTACGGGGCTCGCCGCGACAGGGCTCCTGCTTTTGGTGGCGGTGCCGCCGTTCTAGCGTGAGGGGGAGCTGGTTGTAGTGGTGGTGGTGGTTGTAGTGGTGGTGGGTGGTTGTGGTGGTGGTGGCGGCAGGGGTTGGTGGTGGTGGTAGATGGTGTTGATGGTGAAGATGATGTTGGTGGTTAGCGCGCCGCGCAATGAACGCGGCGACCCGAGTTCGATTCCCAGCCCATAGCCCGACACTTCAACAAAACCGGTTGTGTGTTGGAGACCCGAGACCACAACATTTGTCATTTACATTGGCAACCTTTACAGTTCGGAATCGAACTCTGGTCGCCGGGTTCGTAGCGCGGCGTGCTAACCGCTACGCATCCAAATAAGTCCCTCGTGTGGCGTGTAAACATCGCCACGAGGAAGTTTTAATGCGGGTACGGTCGGGCGTGTTGTTGCCCTCATAGGTGGCTCGCTAACAGCACTTGCCCCAAACAGTCTGTGAAGGCTACACGGGGGGTGGTGTAGATGCGGCTGATAGTTGTGGTGGTGGTCCAGTCGAGGTTGGGGAGTTGGCTGGGCTGTGGTTGTTGCGGTGTTGAGGGCAAGATCCATGGCATGGGAAGGACTCTGCGATTAAGCAAGGTTGATGTGGCACGGTCCTCTGTGGTGCTGGTGTTGAGGAGGGGGGTGGGCTGATGTGACCTGGGTTACTGGGTTTATCTAGGGCCGAAGGTCACAGTCCACAGGGGGCTTAATCACCTTTGTCCCGTTAATTGTGCATAATTACCATCGCGGATGATAGGAGCAAGGCGAGTCTTATCTGAGAAATGTACCAATATAGCGCTTGTCAAAAGCTCGGTGTTAAATCTGTGCTATAAAGTGAGTTTTATTTAAATTATATGTTTAACATGTACACCGAAGTGTCTCAATAGGCTGTAGTACCGCTGTTAAATGGCGCTCCAGCCTGCCCATCAAAAACCCTTAAATATCTGGGCTACATATATACACCATAGCCTTTCCATTGTTAGGTTTGTTAATATATGATTGTAATATGTTTTGTTATCCTGTACAGTATGTAAAAGTATATAAGGCTAGATAATTCCTTTTGGTGCTTGGCTGACTTGTCAACTTGATTAGTTTCCGTGCCGTGAGTTAATGAGGCTCAGGTTGTAAAGTCACATGCAGTATGATAGAGTTACTTTAAAAAAAAAATGTTTGGGTCATAAATACAGCATTTGTCTTTTGCGAATATTGAATTAGTTTGCACATTTAATTTGTATCATGGGTACATTGATTTAATTAAATGTAATATAATATTACAGTTGACACACAAGTAATAGCATATAGATAATATACTGTAATCCTAATAATGTGATTGTTTTGAGTAAATTAACAGAAGTGTTTAATACAGTACTTAACTGCATTACTTTTCCGTTTAATGGACTGTATAGGATGTCTTGTGGAGCTAACCTCTTCCCAAAGATGAGTTTTGAGTGTAGGGATACTGTACAACATATTTTCCATATGTAATGTCGATATACTAGTGGCGTTCAATGAGCGTGAAAACTGAAAAGATTCACAATGCTGAATTGTGATTTCATTAAACTTAACTTCGTGATGGCATCTAGTGGGCCACACGGAGTGGTTTCCATCATTCATTTTTGTGGTTTAAAATGAATGCTAATCAACGTACATCAGGTCTGTTTATTGTCATACTATGATGGTATATTTATGGCAGAGCAAGTTGCATCGGATTAAAAACACTGTAAAATGTAGTTTGTGCAATACGCCGTTTTGTGTTTTGTGTGGATTGGACTTGTTAAATCTGTCCTGACCAGCATCGCGAAGTATGAATGATGTAGGAAGACCTTCATTAAATTCTAGTGGTAGATATTCAGTATCTGGGTTAACATTTGGTTGCACCCAATAATAATTATTTAAGGTAGAAATGCTTGAGCCTTGCAGATAAATTCCAGCGATGATTAACCTTTTTAAGGGAGCCATTAGGCCACTAATGTGACGTTTTACGTCTGTTCATTCATGACCACTTAAATGTTTTCACAAAAACGTATGAAACCACTAAACCATTTGCTTGAAAGCTTACATCTGATCAAACTTACTCTTTCCCATGACCTGGCTGTATAGAAAGGGGGTTTAATGAGGTTGGGTGCATAACATGTTTCATTTTATTAAAGGGGTGCAATAAGCAAGTTGGTAGCAATGAGGCACAAGCCATTACCAGAAACAATGTTATTCAAGAAAGTCTTCCCAAGTCTCAAGGCTTTTTAGAGTGTCCTGCATTTGGATATTTTGACAACTTTTTTAAAGGAACATTTTTGCATGGCAGAGGAGGAGGGGAAATGAACGAATATTCACAGCCTTTCGTCAATCATCACTGCTGAATGGAAGTGGCATACGTGGTATCCCAGGGATACGAGGGAAAACACTGAAATGTCCACAGATGGGGGTTCACAAACGACAAATCCAATTATTCTACTGAAAGCTGCTTGGTCAACTCGCACCCTATCGAATTTAACATTTTCACGGATCAATAAAACAAATTTAATTGCCTTCTTTGGTTCTTTCGGTAAAGTCATGTAGAATGAGAATAAAATAAACAATAAAATTCTCACGACGTTTCGGCCACAACACAAGTGGCCTTCTTCAGGCCTTCTTCAGGCCACTTGTGTTGTGGCCGAAACGTCGTGAGAATGTTATTGTTTTATTTTATTATTTTATTCTCATTCTACGTGACTTTACCGAAAGAACCAAAGAAGATGAACCCTTGCAGTCACGAAAGCTTTAAATCGAAATTTAATTGCCCTTTTTCAAATAACTGCTGGATGAAGGCCTTTGCATCCCTTGTCGGCCATGGGTTTTGTTCATACTTAATTATTTTGTGATTGTGAGTTTGTCAAAGAGGAGTTAAAGGACCTATTTGGATAATACTTGCCACTGCATGGTAGTCGTCTCCAGGAGAAAACTTGGGTACATTTATTACCACTTTTTTACGTTTATATTAATGCTAAGAAACTTGCAGATAACCACTTTTACATCCCGAAGTGTTAAAGGTGTAAACAATAAAACAAATCCTCCACTGAAAGCGATTCAAAGTGTCTCCTTTGGAAAGTAGTGTCGCCATTTCAACATATTGTAACAATCAATGTTTGCACAATCCTGCCTAATGGTGTTCGGTCATGCCAACTGTTTTAACGTTTCTGCTGTGCACATGCTGTACTATAGCTGGTGGATAGTATAAGCACTTTCAAAGTCATGGGAAGGTTATGGATCATGTTAATCTTTGAACAGGAAAGATTTGGCCATGATTTGATTATGAAAAAAGAATGTTGCATTGTACACAATCCAATGTTAACACAAGGATACATAACGATTTTCCCCCCCTTTAAAATATGAAAGTTACTATTTATTCCAAAAGCTCAGCAAGTGATATGAAGTGTGAATTGTGTGAACCTAAAATGTTTGTCCACACTTCATACTTTGTGATACAAAGACACACAATGTTCAGCGTTCACCGAATGCCTTGTGTGCACGTCTGTGTTTTAATACGCAGCAGATTTTGGTGAGGGCAGCCCCCCCAATAGTTATTGTAACTGTAAAAAAGTATTAAGTTTTTTTTTTCCACTGGTTTGGTCATAACCAAAATCAAACGGCTTAACTTCATTATTTAGGCAATTTTGATGTGTATTCTTGGTTCTTTCGGTAAAGTCACGTGGAAGGGAAACAATAAAATAATAAAAATATATACGTGACTTTACCGAAAGAAGCAAGAATATGAATCCCTGCAGTCACGAAAGCTTTAAATCAAAATTTTGATGTGCTTTGCGGCTTTTCATTATTAAGTTTATTTTGCCAAAGATGCACCAACCTGCTGTCATCTGCCTCTACTCCTCTTAGAATCGATTATTTACATATATATACGTGACTTTACCGAAAGAAGCAAGAATATGAATCCCTGCAGTCACGAAAGCTTTAAATCAAAATTTTGATGTGCTTTGCGGCTTTTCATTATTAAGTTTATTTTGCCAAAGATGCACCAACCTGCTGTCATCTGCCTCCATTTAATAATTTTATTCCAGTCCACCTTCGATAAGTGTTCCGCGTTACATACTGTGTCAATCTAGATTTGAAGTTTTCGTGACTGCTTTGGTTCTTTCGGTAAAGTCACGTAGGTATAAAATAAATTAAATCACGACGTTTCGGGCGCAACACAAGTGCCCGTCATCAGGTGGAACAACCACAGCAAGAAACAATTGCTGAAGCAAGCCCCCCTTTTGCAAATATTTCCTACAAATAATGATTTGGTGAGGTCCATTTAATTGTGCGTGTTATTTTCCATCTGTTTGTGCAGTTACGACGAGCCAAATAACCCGCCTCTACAGCCGCTTCACCAGTCTGGACAAGGGGGAGAATGGTACCCTCAGGTGAGACCCCCTCCCCCCCAACTACTCGGCGGCGTGCCTCTACTCGGGTTAGCGGCTCTGATGTGTGACCCTAATGAGCCAGCTGTACCTACAAAACTGGTTTTTCTCGTCTTTATTAATGCCTCCTGATTCGAAATTGGATTCGGCCATTCCAGGAACAGCTGTGGAATGGCCCAAGTGTAACAGCAGCACCCCCAGGTCTCCTTGTGAGATGCAATGATTCACCCTGCCCCCCATATTTATTGTTGAAGTACAATGACATTATTTTCGTGGTTTTTTTAAAATATATTTTTGTTTATCTTGCACTGTCTGGTTTTGTTTTGTTCTATTAGCATAGAGATGAGCCATGTAATTTGCTTAATCTTCATAAGTTGTAAATAATCGATTCTAAGAGGAATTTATTGATGCTAGTGTCCTGAGCCACAATAATCCAATGTTAATCATTGGTTCCATACCGACTTTAGGCATTGAGATCCTGTTTTCTCAGACCCTCATTTGATCCCATTCCATCCCACCAACTCCTCACTCTCCACCTTCCCACATCTTTCCTTTCTCCCAAACATGACCAAGTAATGAGGAATCCAGGCAAGATCGTGATTTATTAATTCACAACTGTAGCTTATAGCGGCTATTTTAGCTGAGCGAAGTTCTCTACCATGGTCTGTAGCTTTCCGTCTGACTATGACATCAACTTTCTGAGGTCGTTTCCACAAACCTTACCGACAACCTTCGCTAAACAAGCTCGACCTTCTCTGGTGGGTTGACACAACTTTGTGACCACGACTGAGGCATGGCATTGCTCAGGCCTCAACATTCCTGAGCGCAAGGAGAGTTGCATCCCCAACATAATACAGTGGTCTCATCCCTTACATTTTGCTACACCGCTACTCTGCGTGCTCCACACTTCCCCCCCCTCCTCCCACTGGCTCTACCATCTGTGAACGAGTGTCCAACCCCCAGGAGGAAGCACCTTTCCTATATAGGATACTGGGTGAGGTCCAAGTGGATGGTTATTGGGAAGTAATGCTTTTTTGAAATATTTATTTTATCCAAAGTTTAATGTAATTGTGGGTCATCTTAGGCTGTATTGGGTGACTGCACAGCACCAAGGTGACACTGCATCTTCGTGCTGTGCTGACCCAGTGACATCACAACACGTTTCTGTGAAATCTCCAACTGGTCATTCTCCTTGCACCAATTCCCACTTTAGAAGGGTAATTTCTTAATGTATTCATGTGATATATTCTATTGTAAGACAGTGTTAAAAGCGAAGTTTGTGCGTTTTATTTTTGCAGTTAATGATGGTTAAATAACAAGGTGTAGTTGAAGTTCCTTGTTAAAAAATGTGGGCTTTAGCACCATTGCAAAACACAGGACTGTTGCGCCAGTACAATATGGCTTACAATGTTGCCTTGAAAGGAAGTGATGAACTAATTTGGTTATTACAAAGCACGTAAAAATGCCATTTTATATTCTTCCTTCATCGCAAAGTCGTTGCAATTAAAACTGAAGTCAATGAAAATGGAGAGTGAAAAATGAGAATCTGCAAAAATGTAGAGTCTTAAAATCAAAATATAGGACGATTGAAACATTTTGCAATGATTTTGGATAAATGCGGTGACTCAATGGATCTGCTTGGTCATGGTGTGAATTATTAGCTAGCTTCCACCAGAGATTCGAACATGAGTGGCAATGCACACATCCAGCCTGAACTTGGGATGTTGGATTATTCGATTGTAATGAGGTGGAGCTCATGTGTAACAAGGTTCCTGTAGGATTTACTGGATGTAGGCTTCTCGAGAGCTACTAATTTACTACATTTTTGTAAATGAAGTCAATGTTTAACCAGGGACATTTGAAACTGTAGCTTGCCATTTGAAGTCTGTGCAGTCTCGTACAATAAGTGTTTTACGATTGCAAATGCTTTTTTAATGGTAGTAAAAGGTTTACTGGTAATGCCATTCTTTAATGATTGTTCGTTTAAAAAGTAACTTCTAATATAAAATGCCCTTTTCTCTGGTCGTTGTGTGCACAATTGCATGGCAATGTCGCCTTTGGAAAAAAAATGGTATGCGTTGAGTTGTAATTATAGACGGTTATGACCTTGAGAGGTTCCGGATCAAGTGAATAGGATCTGCTCTTTACCTTTTGCCAATAAACATTTAGGGTGCAATGTGTTTTTTCCACTCGTTTTACTAACATTGTTAATATCTGTTATTGACGAGTTGCCAGTAAAAAACAATAAACACACTAAAATACTACAGTACATGATAAATTATAGCAGTGTTTTGTTATATAGTATCCCTCGTAAACACTGGTACATTGTTACAGCCCTATTTGACAATCCACTGCTAGATCCACATGGCCGTGCGAGTCATGGGTTTATTTGACCAAACTTCACGCTGGTAAATGCGAGTTGGTGAAGGCAGGGAATAATAGATGTTGCCCTTCTGGCCTGTGCTGCACCCTGTAGCCTTGGGGCTACAGAACATTACACACTGAAAATTAGAGGCATATTTGAGTATAACAAATATTCCTCAATGTGGCTCCAGTGAGCGACTCGAAGTTGTCGGGTTGGGAATTAATCCTGGTTAGCGGGTTGACTTGGCCCTTCATCCCTCTGGATCTGTTTCAAGATTTTCACTCGCAGTCTTCAGTATACTGCTTGGAATTACTCCTGCCTCTCGTATCTCATCCTCACGCACACTGCTTCAGCAACCAAGGTTTTGTATTGATGCCCACAATCAACATTTGCTGCATGGGAGGTTGCCCATCCTCTTGTGTGTCCCTTATAACCTGGAACTCGCTTATCCCAGTCGTCTGTGCTGTTAATTTCCTACCTCTGTTCATGTCCAGGCTCAAAAGACCTTAATTTTTTCCCCTCTGTCTAGCACTGTCTCATTATTTCAATAAAATAGGTGCATTTATTATTTAAAGTGTCTTTGGATGTGGTTGCATTTAGATAAAATATAAATCCAAATTGTCTCGTATTTCTCTTTTGGTGCCTTTCTGTTTACGACACGAGAACCCACCAGTAACATCGACTTGATGAATTTTAAACGTTCACACCTAAAATTGATGACCTGCAGTATAACTTTCTTGTGGTGCAAATTAGTATTCAACTGGCACAGATTTTGGGATGTAAAATCGACACCCTTTTCTTGGGCCAATGAGATTCAGGGTTTGTGGTTGTGGGCAGGAAGACCACGAGTGTATTGCATAACTCATGCTTTGTTTTGTTTCATGACAATAATATACAGTACTTGGGGAAAAAAGAGTAAGTCGAAGGTCTGGACAGATTAGGCTTGATCCATGCATGTATTCAGTTGCATAATGTGGGCGTAGGTATACACCCCACTGTAGTCTTTGTGTCACAGCTGTTGCAGCTAAGCCTACGACTTGTCTGTCATACCACGCTATATTGACAATGTACAGCAATACAAATCCTCTGTATATTTGGCAGGCACAGGTTTCTATATTTATCTGGTATTTTTATACGGGTACCAGAAATCTGTTGCAATGACAAGGCATGTGTGTGTGTGCTTTGTGAGCGTGTGGGTTAGATGTGATTATGCACGTTACCTCGCTGTTTATGGTTATTTCAATTTGGATAAGTGTGATTTATTTAATTACTCGGTGGTGTGAATGCACGCTGATTATGAGCTTCTTGGAGTAGAGGTGGTAAACGTATTTTTATCCCACAGTTGCTAGATGTATTCAAGCAGTACAATGTCCTTCCGTGTGTAAAATACTCAGTTACAGATTGCTGCTGCATTGGCATTGCTGGTGCTGCTGATACACTTGGGCTACGGCCATCTCCAAACCTTTATAAACAGTGTGCCTTTAGAGGCTAACCCCTTTTCCTGATGACGACCGCTTGTGTTGCGATTGAAACGTGATATTTTTATTCACTTTATTATTTTTTATATCTACGTGACTTTACCGAAAGACCCAAAGAATATAGACCAAGGCTTTTCTGGTTTGTAATTGACTTGCATAGTGAAACACCACCTATTTACAACGGAGTGGGGGGTTTTTCTAAGAATGCTTGTAGCATTCGCACCCTAAAATCTGAAACTCAACTCTAATGTTACATGTCTCTACGTAAAATTAACTAATGACAAATTCTGTGCAATATAGCGGATAACAGGTTGTGTTTATATTGACTCTTATTTTCTGTAAAACATAAGCATGGACTGTGGAAAGTCGACCATAAGTTCATGCTTTTTGAAAATCATGCTTGTCAAACTATTGAAGGATATTTTCTATTCTGACAAAAATCCTCTTTCTATATGTAAAGTTAATTTTTTTAAATGGCATCACCATGTAACCTAAAGAGCACACAAAAATATACCAAAAAATGTATTGGTTGGTTATGATTGCTCACAAGAGACTGATAATATATCATGTTGTCGTCTTTCCCTGTGCTTGTATTTGCATTAATAAGTCTACAACTTGAACTATTTATGCTCCCCACCAATCAACTAATTTTTGTGTTTCCCAGAAGTGAATGTATGGCTGAAAATGAGGAAAAAAAACTCTTCAATTTTGTTCAGCGCCCAATTTCATTGACCGGTAGTGTAATGTCCACAGTACTGCAGACAAGGTGGAGCTTTTCACTCGGGCTGAATCTTGTCCTGGGACTATAAGTAGCATTTCTCTTACTCGCAAGATGCAGAATTGTAGATTTTTACGACCATTTGAATCTTCTTTCTAACCACCACTGTGATTTCTAGATGAGCAATGTGAAGTTTGCCCCAAGTGTTTGTAGTCCAACGCCATTTGCATACTTCCCTTTATGTAGTCAACGGAAGTGCTGATTAATAGATAATGGCACAATTCATAGATTCGCCGCAGCGTGTATAATAGTACTCTAACCTATAAAAGTTATTTTTTTGTCTGTCTGTTCGTCTCTGTCTGCGCACGCGTGCTTGCGAGGGATTGGGCTCTCAAACAGTGGGGTTTACGTAAAAAAAAAGAAATTGCCAGCTACCACGCCGTAAGCCCCGCAGTGGGCAAGCGCGATTCCGGTTTCCTTTCCGTTACTTTGAAATTTGTTTTAAAATAGCGATTTAATGCGATTTCTCATTTATTTATATAGTTTTGCCGCCCGGCGCGGGATAAAGCACGCAATTGTGCATGCGTGAAACGCTAACAGGAGTTTGCCCCTATTACAACAATGATCACTAAAAAATTTCGTTCGCGTTAACAATGCTTAAAAAATATACACACAACGCTGAGGTTCATTCTTCAGTCTTATGGGGGCCCCACCCCCACACCAATGCGTGCAGTTACTGATATAAAGTCCGTATATATTCATATTATAGCGCTTGCATCGTATTATTGCAGCGCGGGTGGGGAGAGCGGCCCAGCCCCCGGTCTAGCAATGTGTCACCTCCTCCGGCTGGGCAATCTATAGGCGAGGCCGCGGGCTCTGCACGGGACTAGGCCTCACCACGGCAATGTCAAGTACAATTACTGCTAGGAAACGTAGTGGACTGGAAGCCCAACCGGGATTAATTCACAGGAGGCAGGGGATTAATTGTGTATGTCTGTCCACGTGGGAGGGTGGGGCTGGGTGGAGAGGGGAGGGTAGGGAGGGGCTGGGTGGGGGAGGGGCTGGGTGTGGAGAGGGTGGGTGGGGTGGGGGCGGGGCTGGGCGGGGTGGGGCGGGGCTGGGTGGGGTGGGGCGGGGTGGGGCTGGGTGGGGAGGGGCTGGTCACCCCGTGGTGCCCTTATATGGACTGGAAGCCTTACCGGGATTAATTGTGTATGTCTGTCCACGTGGGGCTGGGCTGGGGAGGGGCTGGGCTGGGGAGGGGCTGGGCTGGGCTGGGGAGGGGCTGGGCTGGGGAGGGGCTGGGCTGGGGAGGGGCTGGGCTGGGCTGGGGAGAGGCTGGGCTGGGGAGGGGCTGGGCTGGGGAGGGGCTGGGCTGGGGAGGGGCTGGGCTGGGGAGGGGCTGGGCTGGGGAGGGGCTGGGGAGGGGCTGGGCTGGGGAGGGGCTGGGCTGGGTGGGGGCTGGGCTGGGTGGGGAGGGGCTGGTCACCCCGTGGTGCCCTTATAAAACTCAACGTTTAACCTACTCACGCCGGCTTGTGCCCGCCCTCACAGTCGGGCATATTTGCGGAATACACCACACCGCCGATGACCCTGGCCATTGACCGAGCAACCCAACGTTCGTACCAGCTCCCTCCACAGGAATAAGTTTTATTGAATATTTGGCTAAGAACTTGGGTTCATTGTTTACTATTATGAAACAAATATGTTAGCAAATATTACAATAATTATGTTTGTGTGCAGAAAACTAATATTTCATTACAGTTGCTAAATATTTTATTTTTTTAGGTGTGTTTTTATGACGCAGCAACGGTATACTGCCAGTCTGTGCTGTGGGCCAGCTGCCTGCTGATTAATTAACATCAGTGCACTGGCACTATTATCTACACTGCTAATTTTGCTTTTGGCCATGATGAGTGTATGCCAGTCTATAATCTGTTGCCTGCTTCCTTACCTTACTCAGTGTACTGCCAGCCTTTCATGTCGACTGTTTCCTACTTTTTCAGCTGCTGACCGTATTGGCAGATTTTTATGTCGACTGTAGCAATGCTTATCTCATTGAGTCGGCGTACTGGTAGTCTATAATCTAGACTGTAGCCTGCTTCTCAACTTACCTGTGCGTATTGCTGCTCTTTAATGTACACTTATTTCAGCTTATTTCAATGCATTTATATTGTTTCGATTGCTCACGTCACGCTATAGTACTGCGATGCTGATTCATATGTTATACTGCTAAATACGTTGGACTTTCTTAGCTACAGCCCATTACATTTCGTCTACCGTTTGGTTACATTCGTGGGAACTATCACCCATTAAAATTTTGCCGTACCACACCTTTACTTTCCACCAAAGCGGGGCACATGCAGGGAGGTTCAATGCCTCAAATATTGTTGACCTTGCTTTCTTACGGTGGGTGAGGAACATTGTGAGAGAGACATTGTTCTTCCATACCAAGAAAACACCATCGCACGATTTTCTGACACTAACAGAGCATACAATGCCCTACAATAACACATTTTCCTGTCGCAAGGCCAAGATGGGTACCACGTCAAGATTCCTCCAATTACAAAGCTGCAGGACAAAGACATCCTCACAAAACTGTCTCCTCTAAAAAAAACTTCTATTCCTTCATGATCATGGACAGAGGAGGAAACCACATTATGGGGCGCCAACCTCTTTAACCAGTGTTGTCGATGAGTGCCAACATTGCGAGTGAGCGACTTCTTTACATTCAACTGAATCAAAACCGCCTGCGTGTGAACAGTATGCTCATCTCTGGGACGTCATCAATGCCGAAGGAGATGTAAACGGTCACAATGTGGGCTGATTAGTTAGTTTGTATTCATCCTTCACAGCTCCACCAAGATACATGCATGAGAAGACTCCGGATGCCATGACGTACATCAGCCAATATGCCATGCCCCATCTCTTCATCACCTTCACTTGCAATCCCAAATGAAAGGAGATCCATGTTTACCTTTATCCAAACCAAAAGCCACCAGACAGACATGACATCTTAGCGAGGGTCTTGAAACTCAATGTTTATGACCTCGTGATGCTTATTAGGACCAATGAAGGCGGCGTCTTTGCATAGACGATCAGTAACTTGCACACCATTGGGTGGCAAAAACGTCGTCTTCCTCATGGTCACAATTTGCTATGGATGAGTGAAACAATTCATGCAAGTTACATTGACACATTATCAGTGCTGAGCTACCTCGCCCCCATCAAGACCCTGCCCTTCTTCTGTGGTCTGCAACCAAATGGTCCGTGGCTCATGTGGCCAGTTCTATCCAAATGTGCCACAAATAGTGGATTTGCTGATGACTGGTACCAGCGGTGTCAAGATCGGCCTCTGGAGGAGGCTCATGAAGGACGCTACTGGGCAGTTGGAGGCAGTCGCCCTCCAACAATAACGGAAGGCGGAGGAGTGACGCTCACAACAACGAGCGGAGCTCCGGGTGGCTAAAGCACAGCAAGTTGGCACAGTAGGGGGCACAGGTGGTGCATAAGCCAGTCATCTCAGTCAGGCGATCCGTGGCACCTGGGTCTGCCCCGTGACCTCCTGCCAGCGGGCGTTCCACACTTCACGTGGCCTCAAAGTGCACATAGCCTGGCACAAGCGTCGTGGTGACGTTAACGAATGGCAGTTGTTGTATGTGTCAGTCCATGTGTGTGGCTCTGTGCGTGTGTGAGTCTGTGTGTGTGTAACTCAATGTGTTTCTGTGTGTGGGTCTGGCTGTGTGTAAGTCGATGTGTGTCTCTTTTTCGCCCGGGCAACGCCGGGTACTTACCGCTAGTTGCAGATAAGTCTCAATGTTGTGTAAAAAGCTGCTTTGCTGATTTGCCCCTTTTTTAATGTTAAAAGGTAATTTCAAATAGAAATTATCGGTACTTACAGACAACCGCAACACTACACTTGCCAAGTAGCTGTGTCGAGTGAAGGTTGTATTTTGTACATCTCTTTGTGCCATTGGTTTGCAATTGTGCGTGCGTTTTTTATGTTTGTGCAGCCGAGAAGACTTCTTGCGGATTCCGGAGCTAGCCATAAACCCTCTTGGTGACAGGATCGTCAATGCCTTCTTTATATACGGGTACGTATGTACAACATGTGACTAGATTTGAAGTATGCTGTCCCAAAATGTTCTCGTAAAGCTGTGGAACTATATTTTTATTTTACAACCTTGATCGAGAGTCATAATATACAACATCAAATATCTAATCTGTACATACCCAGGAAGGAATATAAAAATGAATTCCTTTATTGATTTCTAATACAGTTAAACCATTGTTGTTTTTGCCTAAGGGACAATTATAAATGCTATAAAACAAGACATGCTTTTATCAGATTCCTATAGTTTTTAGGCCTTACAATTTAAAAGATTTCAACTGGAAACGTTCAAATATACCAGTAATGGACATTGGCGGTACACTGGTGGAGCATACCACACCGAATCTCATAAACAGTTCTCAAATAATAATTTGAACTGACGTTCGTCTTCTGACTGCTTCGACGTCACGAGAACTGATTTTGACGCCCTGCAAGATTTTATTACCAGGGTTGCGAATCGTGGAAAAATAAATTATTGCTAAATATTACATTTTTTGTGACACTGCACGCCGGTGTACCGTCAATAATTCCAAATATGAACAATACCCACTCCCCCCACCCCCGCCCTTGAGTGCTAGTTGCAAGAGTAAGCCATAAAGCTGAGCACATAAGAGCTGCGTGTAACGGAGTAAACTGAAAACAAAATGTTGATTGAAACTCAAAGTTCAGACAACTTTTGAGGTCTACGAGTCGCTCACTGTACTGAAGAGTCACATCAAGGAGTATTCGTTTACCACTATAACGGTGTCACACAACTAGAAAGTCTCATTAAATACCGACGCTGCTTTGGCTAGAAAGTATAATAGTTGATGCTTATCACATTTTCCATGGCTTTTTGCTTCTGCAAAAGGAAGGGAGCGATCACCAGGTGTTGCCTTTGGCGGCTTTGTCGGTGACCTCTTGATCTGTTTATTCAGCAATGTTCACATTTTATAATACCACAACCCTAAGTTCTGTTGCATTCCTGCTCCATAACATCTGTGGAAACATTTACCTATTTTACGTCTCCTTTGTTTACTCGGTCTAAAATGACCACCTGATGAGATTTATCAATACTGCACTGGGGAAACGTGCCTATTTAGGCACCCTTTCATGCCTGCTAGTCTTTGTGGATCTGAGATCAGCACTCCTCTCCATGAGGCCCAAATGGAGGGGACCGTGGTATTTTTATTGTCGATATACTCTGAGTGAGTGGTAACAGTGGTTTTACCCGTTTACTGCTTCCATTTAAGATTGAGTAACCCACATCTAGGCTAATTGAGTCACAAACCACAGTAGATTGAATTTAGACAATACTCTTTGGAAGCTCCCACCTGCCTCCCCATTTAGAATTATTTCCAGCATGTATATTTACAAATTGCACAATCATGCAAAACTGAATATAGAGGTCAAGGATGTATGTAGAATTTGCGTCATGTGCGTAAGGCATAATAATTGCAAGCTTATTGATGGATTCCAAAGCGATTTGTGTATGTAAACAGACAACTTTACTGATATCAAATCATGTTTTAATTGCTTTGATTGTGACCTTAAATAGGCAGAAGCCATAAAAAAATACAGCGGTGTACCAGTTTCACGCTTGTTGGTGATCATTGGCACGGCCAGTATGATGTGGGTGTCCTCTTTACCTTGGCATGCGTATGTTCTGCTGAAAGCAAGCATCGTCTCCACCTGGGTGGTTAATGCTATTACGCAGGAGCTCATAAGGGGGCAGCACAGCCACGAGGCACTCCAGTATCATAGCACCTCTTTAGTCTCGAAACGAATGCTTATGTTAAACCGTGAGCACAAAAAACACATGAATAAGGCCCATCCGTAGTCATGAGACTACAAAAGCCAACTAAGTGTCAGATAGCAGCTGTTGTAGTTTGCACAGTAATTGATGAGACTCATCTTTCACTTTTTTGGGCTGTCCCACTAACATTACCGATCGCACGGCTGTGTAATGTTACATGTCAAAACCAAGATAAAGAGGTTGCAACATTTTTATTTTATCATAAATGTTCCAAGGCCACAAATGAATCGTGGCATTACTTACAGAAAATCTGAATCTTAGTTTATCACATGAACTCCTGTACATTTGAATTACACACACTATAATTTGAATGTATAGGAGTTGTATGTCTTTATTAGTGGAGTTATTTGTCGTGAAAAATGTATATTTGTACAGTATTTTCATTGTTTAAGTTGATCGCTGGACTGGTACAGCATTTGGAGCAGTTTGGCCGGTTTGGCCGGATCAGCCCAGGACCACTGTATAATCGCGAGGTGCCGGATAATTATAATCAATGGTCAAATGTAGTCTTTCCAAAACTGTGTTCATTCATTTCACAAATCCTTTTGAAATTTCCTATTTAAAATATTGGTCATTACACATCTTAGGATCTGGAAAATATGCTTCATTGAAAACGTTGTGCAATACTGGAATTGTGATTGACATCAGCTCTGGTGCTCAAACTTGAATTGTATTTATGGCTATGCGCAATGGCGGAGCCAGGATTTTCAGATAGGGGGGGCAACCCCTTCAGCAATGAAAAATGATAGCAGTTAGTAAGTAAGGACTTGTCCCTTGCTTTTTATTCGACGCGTGTGCGGCGATCGATCGAGGGTAAAATTCGAACCGCGTTGCGTGATCGGCATCGCGCTCGCTGAAGGTGAATGCCTTCAGGGAAATCGTGTACTGTATACGTAACTGCGCACAATTCTGTGAGTCACTTATAACTGCTTTTCCGTTACTTATTGCCAATTATGGACTCGGACTATTGTCTGATAGAGTCCCTGGCACGTAATAATATGCTACACAGTGGCAGTAGGGGTCGCAAAATGCCGATTAATTACTAATAAACCCCAATGATCCGTTCGAAATTAGGGATTTCGATCGGATCATTGGGGGGGAGGGGGGGCATGTGCCAACCCACCCCCTCGCTGGCTTTGCCAGTGGCTATGCATATGGTGGGATACCAGTCTGTCTTGCACGCGATCTTTGGGGCAACAAGATACACTGGTAACATTCCACAGGTTAGTTACGCGATGTGAATGCTGAAAAAATAACGCCTCCAACTGGAATATAATTATTATGTTTCATGAGCCAATCCTAATGTATCCAAGAATGTAGGATGCTTTGTTTTTCAGTGATCCTGGGTTGGGTAATTGTTACCAGTCTTTGCGTCGTGTTCCTTGAATTTTTAGTTTTCTCGATAAGTAGCTCATTATTTTCAACCTCGAATTTCCCATGTAAAACATTTTTGACCTTTGTTTTGTACAGCGAACCTTGATCTAACGGTCTTCAGGGGAGGACATTTTACATTGCAGCCAAAAAACCACCAAACACTGTAAAGGTCACGTATTTCCTGCCATCTGTTTCTCCATCTCTGCTTCTTTTTCAGGCTTGCTCACACTTCCTTGGATTATTTATCTCCCTGCAAAGTGTTTCTCGCTCCACACCTTTGTCCTGTACTTCTCAATACAATTCAACACTGGCTTGACCATTGAAAATGTTATGTATGTATGTATGTTGAACTTGTTTCGCACTGTCCATAGCCAACCTCGCTAAACGTAGGTGTATAGGAAGGACCACAAACGAAACACAAAAAGCAGTTCTAAAGAAATGAATTTTCAATCGGTGGCAATAGATTCGTATCTATATTTTAAAATAGACCTCCAAAATGAATAAAAAATGCATGCTTTTTTGCCCCTTATTACCAATCCTTTTACCATTATGCCAATTGTTTGAGGGTGACAGGGTATGTAGGTCATAGCTTTAAATCGGTCTGCATCCCATTGTCTGTCTGTTTTGCAATACTAATTATAGCAATTAACTGACTTTGTCCATACCCTCGTCACTACTTATGTTTTAAGGGAGGACCAGGTAAATTTCAGGAGATTTATGGCCACACTGGCACACTTCCGTCCCATGGATGGACAAAAGAATGGCGAGGCAAACGAAGCACTCAACAGCCGCTCCAATAAGCTGAAATGTGAGTCCAAAATCTCTTACCCTACCCTCCCTCGATACAACCGTATACTCTGTCTCCAAACATATGGATTTTCAGTGTCTATTACCTGTGGACACTCGACGCTCGCAAAATGCCAAATAAGTTTCTTTATGCATATTTTTGTAGGCTTTAATAAGTGATTTGTCTGGTGGGTGTTAACCGCATTTGTCTTTCTCAACAGTTGCTTTTAAACTCTATGACCTGGACAACGATGATAAGATATCCCGCCAGGAGCTGCTCCATGTAAGGGATGCATTGAGCATTGTTCCAAATGTGTTTTGCGTTGTAATTCTTCTCAACCTTTTCCTTTCTCGGCACTGTATACAATGTGTACCTTTTTTAAGGAGACGTTATAAGGATAGTCCCATAAACCATAATGCATCTCAGCTTGCTCTACAATACACTGCAGAATAAGTGTTTGCTGTTACTCCTTTATATCGGGCGAAAGTAGGGTCGTACATCTCTACATGTTCATGTAGAAAGGGCCAGACTCAAATATACTCTATTTTTTTCCAATTTCATAAACTTTGAAATTATCATCTGAAAAAGCCATTTGAGTATTAAAGTTTTTTTTATAAGAGCACGGTAAACAATACACAAATGAATAAAGAATTAAAACTTTCGTGACTGCATAAATTACTCATTGGTTTTTTCGGTAAAGTCACGTATGTATGGTATTTCTCCATACGTGACCTTACCGAAAAAAAACAATGAGTAATACACAAATGCTCGTGTAAATGCGCAAAACCGCATGCATGAATTGACGTGTGACGTGTGCAGAATGGAAAGTGTGTGTATACACAGAAACCAACGCAGATGTGTGTTTGAATGTGTCTAGGTGCTGCGAATGATGGTTGGGGTGAACATCTCTGATGAACAGCTGGGCAGCATTGCTGACAGGACCATCCAAGAGGCAGACCAGGATGGTGACAATGCCATTTCCTTCACCGAGTTTGAAAAGGTGAGGCTGGAGGTGATCAGACTAGTGTGGTCGTATAGTTTCCATGAAATCGCTGGTGAGGATGTATGGGACACTTTCCTACTCGGTTTAAATGGACTTGTATCACAAGTCAACCATTCCAATGTTATGCTGTGGCCTAGCCTGGAGTCCCGAGAGGCAGCTGTCCCCTGTAAGGTGCAAGGTTTACACAGCAGTGTGACCATGTGTCTGTCAGTATGGGACAATGGTATCTTTATGACAATTATAATATTGACATGTCCTGCACGACCATATTGCATAGACGCTTACTTTCATGTTCTATTATTCGTAATACCTGGAAATTCTCAAACCTATCTCCCTGGAGTTGAACATGTTTTTTTGGGGGTTCGATCCCAACCCTCACACCAGCTGTATATTTGGAGTTTGCATGTGTTCCCTGTGGTCACGTGGCTTTTTCTCCGGGTCTTCCGATTTTCCCCCTCCACATTTAGAAACATACGTTTAGAGTCTTTGGCTGCTATAAATTTCCACGTGATGTGACCCTTCATTTGGCTATCATATGTGGCCAGGTTTCTTCTGAAAAAGAGCTATATAGCTCGGTGGCCCTTATCTCGTAAATTAAAAAGTAAAATAGTAAATTTTTCGTTTTTCTCCCTTGCATAATGGTGTGGTAACAGCGTTTATCCAGCCCTGTGGCAGCTATTCATTACACCATAGTGTTGCACCACAGCAGGATATATTGGCTCCAGTCTAAACAAATTTTAATTATGTTAATTGCCTATGCAACTTTTATATTCATGCCATGTGTGGAGAGGGCAAATGGACGATGTTGAAAGAAATAGATCGCTTGGTGGATTGACTGAAAAATGTTTGTGCTGTGATTTACTTATTTGCAGGTCCTCGAAAAGGTGGATGTGGAACAGAAGATGAGTATTCGCTTCCTTCATTGACACTGGAGAGTTGGGGTGGATGTAACTGCACTTCCAAGTTATGCTACGTTGGAAGTGTGCGATTTTTCATCTTATCCCTGGCTCAATCTATTTGCAAATTTAATTGTTCTCTGGCACGCATTTTTTCATGGACAATCTGCTGTAAATTGTAAGGCGTGTTTGCCGCACTTCCATGGCAAGCTTAGTTCGTGCTGGAATCTGCCTGAGCAGGACCCAGGTGAATTCCATCAGTCCCTCCATGCCTCCCTAGGTGATCATGTGACCTGAGTTGCGGTTGCATCTGGACGCTATATGAACCAAAATTTTATTGTTTCACTTGTCTCAATCAAATTAAGCTGTTTGGTCGAAAAATACATGAAAGTATACAGTTACTTATCCAAGGCTATTGTAATATACCCGTTTCTAAATAAAAAAAAATACTGTACGGTTTTTTTGCCACCCTATGTAATGGCCAGTAAACTCCCCTACATTGCTAAATGCCTGCCCAGCTAAAGATGCACACTCCCAGGGTTCCTTGGCCTTTGTGGAGTCGAGCGGATGGGTCGCTGAGGTGTGGAGGGAGGAGGGGAGGGACTGAGGCTCTGTAGTCTGTGAGCATGGCTACGGACTGGCTGTGGAAATGTGGCTTATACTCCTTTTTGTGCTGTTCCAAAAAAAGCACTGATTGTTGGATTATGATTGCCTTTAATGCCATAGCACTCGTATATTAGTGTCTTAATCAAGTTTTTATTTTATTTTTCGATTTAAAGCTTTCGTGACTGCAAGGATTCATCTTCTTTGGTTCTTTCGGTAAAGTCACGTAGAATAAGAATAAATTAATAAAATAACACAATAAAATTCTCACGACGTTTCGGCCACAACACAAGTGGCCTTCATCAGGTGAAGGGACGAGACAGTCTGGAGGACAGCGCTGGAGCGAACACAGCCAAGCTCAGACCGCGACCTTTACACCGTTCATCATGATAAGTCTGCCAATTAAGTGCAAATTTTTATGCTAATTCCTTTGTCAAGGCGCTCTGTTTCTTCTCACACAGCTTAAAGGTCGCAGTCTGAGCTTGGCTGTGTTCGCTCCAGCGCTGTCCTCCAGACAGTCTCGTCCCTTCACCTGATGAAGGCCACTTGTGTTGTGGCCAAAACGTCGTGAGAATTTTATTGTGTTATTTTATTAATTTACTTTATTCTCATTCTACGTGACTTTACCGAAAGAACCAAAGAAGATTTTTATTTTATTTTAGATAGCGTTCAGGGATGTTGAGGATTAAGTTATTTTATCTTAAATCCTATTTTAGAAGCGTAACTAATATGTTACTACTGATTGTACACTGACATGATTAATCATTTATAATTATGTATGCACACTAAGTCTATGCACTCTTTGCAGTATCAAGTTTGCTAAATCTACAAATTGGCTCATTACAGGGGGGAGGGGGGTGTGTACCTAGTTGTAAACAAACAATTGTTACCCAAAACACATGCAACATTGCGGGGTAAGCAGGAGCACAATGGCAACTGAAGTCTGCCAAGCGATTTTGCTTGGTGAAACACTCGCAAAGGTATGACGATTGCCTACTTTCTTAGTTGTTTAACCCTGGCGGTGTTTTCTCCAGGAACTGTCCATCACCCTCGTGTTTGCAGGCAACTCATCCCCACTGACGAAGTGGCTTTTTAAGGGTGTGCTAGGCCAATGCCCAAATAATGGAGAATGCACCCAATCTCGTCAGATTTTGTCACTTAAGCAGCATTCAGCTCGGTGTTTACCCTTGGATGGGCGAATTGTAAATAACAGGAAGTGGGTTGAGGTTTTAGGCCACTGCGGGGCTGGATGGTGGACGGTAGAGGACCGTCCAGTAAAGTCCGCTGTAGATTACAGCGTTCCCTCGTCATTCACGATGGATTCGTACCGGAGGTGCTTGTGAATATAAAATTTCGTGGACAATGATATTGGCCAACGAAAACCTCATCTCATCACGTTCTCGCTCGATGCAGTGGTGTACACTTCCAGATGTGATTCACGGAGAACAAATGGTGAATAGCAAGTTTGTGAATAATGAGGGAATTACTCTTTGGTTCTTTCGGTAAAAGCACATAAAAAGAAAATGTGTTAAATAATATGATACGCCGTTTCTATTGCAACACAAGCAATCGTCATCAGGTAGAAAAACAAATCTAGTGAACTTAGAAATACAATGCAATACAACACAGAGAATTGGCTAACACCACAGTCGGCACCTTACCTGGTTGATTACGTTCTTCCAAAGATTACTAAATTTGAGAGAGAGGAAACGCAGACACGGAGACACACAGACAGACACACAAGCAGAGAGAGAGACAACAAAGACACAGAGTGAGGGACTACTGTACACTATATAGTAGTACTCTGGTTTACATCTGGGATGCTTTTCTGAAATGTGCGACCACAAATATCGAAACTACGTCAAAGCTATTTACAGGGTAGGTGGTGGAGGTGAAGGCTGAGGCGGTAGATATGCGAGGAAAGGACGGACGATGCTGTCGGCGACGTAAGTCTGGGTTGAGGTGACGCAAATCGGGTAGTGGTATTCGTAAAGTGACGACATATTTGTGAAACTATGTAAAAGGAGAGGCGTAAATTGGGGAGTTACTCTTTCAATCTTCTCGCCACTCTTCAATGTGCGCTGACCATCGTGGTGAAGTATATATTTACAAAAGGGCTGTACATGTACACGTGATTTCACTTGGTTCAAAATTGAAATTAAAACGTTTGTGCAGAATCGGATTAAGAAAAACGCTGGATGAACACTTGTCAACACCTAAATTGGCAATTATGTATATAGTAACCGTGGTTTTAAGTGGAAATTAGATTTTGCTAAGTACATAATATCGTTACCATTCGGTGCACTTGACCATTCTGTAATGGGTACAAATGCCGCAGATTGTCATACATGGATTATGCATTGCACCTGCACAACATCAAACATAACTGCATTGGCTACATGGGCAGTGATGGATATTGTACAATGGGCTGAAAACCCTTGACCACTGTCATCATTAACACTGCCTTCACTCAAAGTACTGCATAGCAATAACTGATGTTTCGGTCCTAAGTAGAGCCATATATTAAATAATCCATATGGTACTTTAAATGCCTTAGCGCAGCACTCTTCGAAGGACACGTGTAATAATTTTGCATGTATTCGTTGTCCTTCCCCCGTACCTCCATATAGCACGGTTGGCTATGTGCGGTTCAAAAGAAGTTCAAGGATGTACGTTCGAATGGTGGTAACATTTCCAGCACATGTTTGGTATATGCATAGTTTGAGCGTTTATTAGTTGAATAGTTGGGTGCACTGACAGACTGAATACACAAAGCTGTAATCCAGATTGACTTATTGCCTACGAATTGTATAACCTGTATAGCCTTTAACAATGCATATCAGTCTACAATAAGCACATAAAAAATGTGTGAAATACAAACAATATTTAGTTTGCCCCCTTTATAAATGTTGTCACGATGGTTTGGGCTGATATTTCTTATTTTGGACACTTGCTAATCACTATTTAAAGCCATTAGCTTGGCTTGATAATTCAAGGAAGCATTGTTTTGCAAAAATATTATTGCTACACCAGTGATTTTGTTGTATTACATGTCAATGCAAACTTATAGTCTCAAGTCAAATCTTCCCTGCTTATTTGAGCAGTAGCATTGGGGCGCCTCCATTGGTGGCCCTAAGCCAGTTATGGAAATGTCTCATTACTATGGTGGGGACCAGGCGCAATCGCATGGTTCTGATCTCAGTTTCTAGTCAAATCAAACACTAACCACGGCACCACCCAGCCAATGATTAAGGAAAAAAATAGAATCCTGCATTGGGTATCGGGTTTTTTATGATTATGTAATGTGCAGTCTGTTCTCGTATAACGCCGTGTGCTTTTGAAAACGCGAATTGGATATTACGAGTTGAATGTACGAGGGAACACTTTTTTTTATAACGCAGATGCTAATTGGATATAACGCGATTTTGCGTGAACAGAACTGTCGCGCAAGGTAGGAATGAGCGGTTGTACAGCTACAACTGCGTAGCATTGTGAATGCTTCAAGATGCGACCCACGTGCCTCAGTCTTTGTTCAGCCTGCATACGCATCTCACATGCTTTCGCAGACTGCTTTACTCTTATTAAAACGCGATTTTTAAAAAACGTGTTTTTTCAGGAACGCAGCTCCCGCGTTACAGGAGAACAGACTTATTTTATTGAACCGACTTGTCAATTGATATATGTTACAATGGCATATTTTTGTCCTGTTTGGCACTCACGACAATATTATTGACAGTATTTGCTCTTGAAATGTCCATTTGTGCTTAAATGGAGCCAGAACCATTGCAATGGGATTTTGCATTCGACCCGGAGAGATTCCCTCGGAGACTCGTGTTTTGTGGCGGCAGACATCTGTCGCAAATAAGTGGTGCGCTGTAGTTTGGCAAACCAGTCCTCGGGCCTCGCCTTCAATCCACACCAATCAGCATCACGTATGGTCACACCTCCAGTGACAGAAACGGCTTGGGTCAGCATATATCCAGTAGTGGACAAAGGCCGGGGATATTGTTTTATTTTGTTGATTGCCAACAGAGCTTGCCGCCTCTCCTTGCATGCCTTCACATTGGACATGAGCCCAAAACGTAATCTCTCGTGCCAGGCCTGGCTGTTAACTGAGCACAAGTGGCAGAGCATGCTGGCTGTAGCGTGACGGGTTCCTTCGTTGTACATTGCAACGTCTCTTTGTACCAGCTCCCACCTCGATGGAGCCACAAATGATGGTTGTGTTAACTTAAGTTATGCATCAGTAACACAGTTGGTGCCTGCCACCTTTAAAATGCAGCACATTGTTGGCCTCTTGGTTTCCTGTGAAGTGCCGTATTGCCATATTCACTTTAATTTCTGCATGTAAGTGACAAGATTGAGTAATGTATCTGTCCAGGGTAGTTTTGGGCGTTGTGGAGTGGTCCATGACGTACGCTTCGCGTGCTAATGCTGACTTTTGAACACCACGTGATGGTGCTTTCTGCATTTGCCTTCAAAATGTTTATTATGCTTCAATAATGGGGCTGGTGAAATGCTTAAATATCTTTATATTGTTAATAAAGAGTCGATGACAATTGATGGGCATTGCTTTTTTTCTCATTGTCCTGTGCTTTTAGCTTGTTCTATTTTTACAGTGTATGCTTGTACAATAACAGCTGTGCCTGCTTATGCCACTGTACCTTGCCATCGCTTCTGCTGGAGCTTTCGGTTGACCTCCACGGCCTGCTCATGCCCCAGCGATACTACGATGTCACATGGTGTAAGATCCATGATAATCATTCAATTTTTAAAATTATCTTCAGGAGCCTTCCTCATATTCTTGGTTCTTTCGGTAAAGTCACGTAGAAGGGAAACAAAATAATAAAAATATTAAATAATAAAATTCTCGCTGTTTCGACTGCAACACAAGCAATCATCATCAGGTGTGAAAACCACACCTGATGAGAACATTTTCTTGCTGTGGTTTACCGAACGAACCAAGAATCTGAATACCTGCAGTCACGAAAGCTTTAAATCAGAGCCTTCCTCATTTTAACTTAAGTCGTGTCGTTGGTCACATCCCTTGGGTGCCACTCAACGGCTCTATATAACCTGCATCCAACTGTCACGCATTTCTGATTCAGAGCAACCTCTTCTGCCTAGTTGAATCTGCAACTCTTGTCAGATTCTGAGCTTTAAAGCCACTTAACCCTATGCTTCTGCAAGGTTCCTAACATCAGGCATGCAGAAGTAGCTAAAGACCAGAAGGAGTCAGAATGATAATGCTCCTGTCTCCCACCTGCCTGAGCATTATGTTAAGCTTTAATATTTTTAAGAGGTTTATATACAGTACTCCATAAAAACCTGTTCGCCATCAATCTATTGGTGGCCTCAGACCCCCGGTTGAAACCTTCCTCAAATGCCTTCACGCTCTAATTTCCGACTGAAACCTGGGGGCAAAGATGCGAGAGCCCATCTACATAGTCAACTCGAGCATCTTGCATTGTGGTTACAGGCATGCACATCTAAATTGCATTGGGCTGTAGAAGGTTTGTTAAAAAATATATATTTGCGATTTCCTTGCCTTGCATGAAATGCTTGTAACATTTCCACAACCATTTTTATTCTTGCAACATAACTCAAAGACGAAGCATTGTTAGCCTAAATTCTACCAACCATGCAGGTTCTCGTGTTCCCTGCTAATCTGCTATGCGCTATGAGCTATTAGTCTCCCCTATGGATTATGTTTGGTTGGGGGGGGGGGGGAGCTGCAGGCCCTGGCAACTTGTTGCAATTCAGCGGTTCTGTACGACGATGGATGTGGCCTTTCAGAGTTCCGTCTCCATATGGCAAGCGCACTCTCAAATCCCGGCAGCCTTGGCACCGTTCGCTATGCATTCAATCGCACACCTTGAAAGATGCGTCCTCGTCAGCCCATGCGGCTCATTACTGCAGTGCGCCTACCTGTCGCTACAACGCACTGCACAAAGGCACTTTGTACACGAAGCACATTTTTATCAGCATTATGGGCATTGATCGGTTTAAGTCGCACGTGCATCGCCCGATCTTTAATAAAAACGTGGTAATTGACATTTCATTCTCTCAATAAAATCTCTCATCGGTAACAAAACGACTAATTCGGTCACCATTAACGGCACATTGGATTTGGTATCGTGTTTGAAACGTTGACAAATGTCACTACGGTTATTCCCACAACGGAGGCACTTTCACCGTACGTTATAGCCTTAAACGATGCTGTACAACTCTAAGAATATCTTGTTAGGTTTATCATCAGGCTCGGCCCAAATGTGTCCCAACTCCATGGTTCAAGCGAGTGTTCCAGCAACCAGCACAACTCCAAAAACAACCACCTCTCCTCACACTTGCCCCGGGTCTCCCTCTTTTAGCGGAGCTTGCCAAAGTGCTCAAGTGGCTTCAAAATGCCCAACTCGTCCCATCCAAAAACCTTCCCTGCAGGTGTAGCGGCTTTTGGCTGGCCATCAAACAAAGACGCTTTCGGATGCGCTTCTGCGGCCGTCTGGAAAGCTCTTCCGTCCGATATTAGGAAGCCACTGAAGCTATGCACTTTTTACAAAATCTAGATTTCTAACTAATTCCTTTAGAACTTATTTTTGTGTTCAGTTTGTTGTCCTTCCCCCGCACCTCTGATTAGCATGGTTGGCTACTGCGGTGCAAAAGAAGTTCAACATTCATACGTATAAAGGTGATGAGGGCTAATTGCTCTCGCCACCATTGCTGACATAATGAGCTCTATAGAGGCACTCGGGGCTCTAGAGGGCATTCCGGACAACTTTGACGCTGCGAGTATCAACAATTTAGCCCCACCGCACGCGATCTACCGATCGACTGACTTTGGTGGCTATCGGACATTGGGCATCTCGCTCCTGAACATATCGCCATACCCGAGCATAGAATTAATAAAAAAAAGTTGTGAAAATTGAGAGGGGAGTGCGAAGAGAGGGGAAATCGTTAAAATGGCAGAACCTACGCAGTTGTCAAAGTATTTTGCAACACTGGGAATTGATTGTTGTCGCCAAAGACGAACGGCAACACCCAAAAGCACTGGCTACTCTTGGTATGCGGTTGCCATCGTAGCCTTTGGCTGACTTGGCTTAACTGGTCACACATTCTCCACACAGAATGTGCACCCATTCTATGCAGCACCTCTCAGCGGTCTGCAATAACTCTTGTGGCCAAAAAAAAGATCTCCTTTAGAGCTGTAAATTAACGTGTGGGTGTTAAAAATGTCCATTCGTGTTTTTTTTTAAATAGAAGTTATCCCCAGTGTTCCATTGTCATTTATAAACCCTTGCAATAATTACATGCACTTCAATAATTAATGTATAATGCACTTTCACAGCCTTCATCGGTGACATATTTGACGATTGCGTGAACTTACACTTTCCGAGGCAACATTAATCAGCCTACACAAGTTAATTTAACATTTTAAAAACTAATCATTTTAAGTCTTCGAATTAGTCACAGCTTGCTTAAAACACTGCTCTTTCATAGATGCGACCTCTATTCGAGTAGTTTCTGAAAAAGCGGAACACGCAAACACACAACACTGAGGATTGTTTTTTGTATTATCGTATTATTGTCCATAACTTAATACAGCATGAACTTGAGCGAAAGTCTCCTTCGAGAAAACTCTTAAAACAGCGACCGGCCTGCTCAGCAGTAATTACTTTCTCAACTCGTCCGAAGTGCGAAGTGGACTATATCCAATCGAGCCCCGAGAGCAAGATGAGTTTTGACGCCCTGCTAAGGGACGTCGGGGAGTTTGGCCCCTATCAGAAGCGCGTCTTCATCATGCTCTGCTTACCCTGCACCGTCTTTTCATTCCAGTACCTCGGCGTACTTTTCCTCGGACAAGTGCCCCGCCACCGCTGCAAGGGCCCGCCAGAGACGCGGCAAGCGGCCAGCCCCGACTGCGGCGTCAGCCCGGCAGCTGCCGCGCGTGGCAACTGGAGCGAGACGCGTGCCGCCGCCGCCGCCGCCGCCACCGCCCATGGGTTCGGATGGGACCTCCGCTGCAAGCGGCTCAACCTGACATCGTGGGCTGCAATCTTGAATTCCTCCTCGTCCTCGTCCTCCTCTTCGTGTCAGCTGCCCGCGCTGGGGCTCAGAGGCGGGTGGCCACCCAACGGGTCCCTGTCCGACCACCTCGTGCCCTGTGACCACGGCTGGGAATTTAACCGCGAGGACGCGGAGTCGACGATCGTCACGGAGGTGAAGTCCACGAATTAGAGCGATTGTAGCTCGTGTGCTGAAATATTAAAACATTGCATTGACGGTGTTTGTAACAAAAAAGTATTTATGAATATAGGAGGAGTTTTATTTTACGGTTGGGATAATATTCTTCAGTATATATTGGACGTTGTCCTACCCCTCACCTCAGATTAACACGGTTGGCTACGTACGGTGCGAAAGAAGTTCAACATACGTACATACATGCATATTGTTCCTGTACATCTGTTTCAATTAATGTATTGCTGTTTGTGTGCTGACGTCTTGTGCTGTGTGTGTGTGTGTGCTGACGTCTTGTGCTGTGTGTGCTGAGGTGCTTTGTGTGTGCTGATGTCTTGTGCTGTGTGTGTGTGCTGATGTGCTTAGTGTGTGCTGACGTCTTGTACTTTGCTTGTGCTGTCTTGCAGTTCGGGCTCGTTTGTGAGAATGCTTGGCTTCTCGATTTCGCCCAGGCCCTCCTAAACCTGGGCTTTTTGCTTGGAGCCATCATCATGGGCTACATCTCTGACAGGTGCCCACGTCACGAACTTCAGCTCACTCTCAGAGATAGTCATGATGACTACATCACCTCCAATTACCACGGTTGGCTAAGTACGATGCGAAACATCAGAATCAGAATATGTATTAATACTCGAGGAATCCGAAGAGCTGTAAAGTTCTTTTTCACAGATGTCCAGTAGGGGCGGGTTAGAACGCTACAACAAACGGTAAAAAATACGATAGTGCAAAGTCTAGGAAAGGTAAACAAATCACTTAAAATATACAAATACAACTAAATAATCTCCATCCTACCAGGCAAAGCCCACTGAGGTATTAACTTATTTTTCAGAAGCAACCTGGCCACAAATGATAGCTCAAAAAAGTGGCTTATCATGTGGACATTCATGGCAGCAAAATAATCTACATAATCTCCATGCATGTTTCTAAATGTGGAGGAAAAAACCGGAGGACCCAGAGAAGAAATCCACGCGACCACCGGGAGAGAGACACCGCACACTCCAAATATACAGTAGGCGTGGTCACGGTCGGGATAGAACCCACGACCTCCTGTATACCAGACAAGGAAGATAACTTCACACCACCGTGTGGCGCCCCTTTAAATAAAGTATATAAGTGAAAATCGCATAATCAATTCCCAAACTTGAGAAAGACAGCAAAACAACAGCAAAAACAGTCCTAGACGACACCAAGACAACACACAGTCAGTCCCTCAATAAAATTGGCCATTTAAACTGAACGATCGATACATTATATTATTGTTTTTTTCGGTGAGACACTGCTTAACCAATACATACTTCACTTGGAATGGAACTTTCTACAAACAAACTGAGGGCACCCCAATGGGCTCCCCCCTATCTCCGGTTGTAGCCAACATTTTCATGGAGAAATTTGAGACTGACGCCATCCAGACTGCCACTCTGCGCCCAACCTTATGGTAGAGGTACGTGGATGACACTTTTGTCATCTGGCCACATGGCCTGCCTGCTCTAGACCAATTCCTCTACCACATCAATTCCATACACCTAGCCATCAGATTTACCATGGAAGTCGAAAAAGATGGCAAGCTACCTTTTTTGGATGTCCTAATAAAAAAGAGAGCTGATGGTTCAATGAGGCACTCTATCTACAGGAAAGCTACCCATACGGATGCTTACCTGAAACCGGATTCCCACCACCATACATCCCAGAAGAATTCCCTCATCAAGACTCTGCACCATAGAGCCCAATCCATATCGGACCAGAAACACATAGCCAGTGAACTCAAGCACGTACACCAAGCTCTTAAGGCTAATGGTTACTCCGACTACACAATCCGCAAAGCTATCACTCCAACCATGAAGATGGACCCTCTTGATGAGCCTTTCAAAACCACCACTTTACCCTACATTGCGGGGATCACAAAAAAGATCTCCAAAATCTTGAATAAACACAAGATCCAGGTCCTATTCAACACATTACATAAAATCCGTGATCTGGTTCCGTCTGTAAAAGATGTGATTCTGGACATACAGTACCCTGGCGTCTACTAACTAAGTTGCCTCTGTGGTAGTAGTTACATTGGAGAAACCAAACGACATGTCTCGGACCGCATTCGTGAACACAAAGCAGATCTAAAACACGGTAGGACCAACACCTCGGCCATGGCAGATCACTGTTATAATTCAGTAGGCTCATATGACATTGACTTCTCCAAGACAGAGGTTCTTTGCAAGCCATCTGGCTACCATGAGAGATTCGTTCATGAGGCTATCCACATATGCAAACTCAGAGACAATTTCAACCGAGAAGATGGATTCTGGCTTAGAAATCATTGGAAGGATTTGATAAACCATTTCGGGTCTTAATAAATTGTTCATGTTTTGATTTAAAGCTTTCGTGACTGCAGTAATTCATATTCTTAGCTCTTTCGGTAAAGTCACGTGACTTTACCGAAAAAGCTAAGAATATAATTGTTCACGCTTACGGTGGCTTTCAGACCGCACCCATTATTTTCGTCTCCTCCCTCCTCTTTTCCGAACATAGATGGACTCGTACATTGGAATAACTGCCAAATCGCTCTCCATAGTGCTAACGTTAAAAAAGGCCACTTTTTAAAAAAAATTCTTGCTGTGGTTTTCACACCTGATGATGATTGCTTGTGTTGCAGTCGAAACGTCGTGACAATTTTATGGTTTTATATTGTTATTATTTTATTGTTTCCCTACTACGTGACTTTACCGAAAGAACCAAGAATATGAATCCCTGCAGTCACGAAAGCTTTAAATCAAGATCGATACATTGTTAACAATTACATTTACAGATCACGCTAACGTGGCTGTATCCAGCACTGATCTTCTGCTTCAGAATTTATTTTAAACGAAGATTTATGATTTTTAAGGGAAGAAACAACGTTCTTCCAAAACGTTGGTGCTGCAATGGCAAAGGCTTTGGCACCTATTCCAATTCTTATTATTTTAATAGTTAAAAGGCAATTAGATGGACGTCTTAGATTTCTTAGATTTAACATTGGGGTTAATGAATTAGCTATGTAAAGCACATATTTCTCAATAAGGATGTTATGGATGAACAGGGCCCAATTTGGATTTCTTCTTGCATCAAGTGATATGAGATTGGATTTAAGTAAAGGTCACAATGGTGGGTCCTGTATGGTAAAAGCATCATCCATTGCAAATCGAAGAGCAGAATGATGAAGCTGGTTTAATTTGTTTAGTGATTCATTAGCAGCTGATGTGTAAGCAGCGTCACAGTCGTCAAAGAGTGGAAGAATTATAGTTTCAAGAATTTGCAGGCGTAATCGAATGGGAAAACTATTTTTGTTTCTGTATAAAAGCCCTATTTCTGATGAGATTTTCTTGGAAATGTGATAAATATGGAGTTGGAATGTACGTGTTGAATCAGTTAGTACACTCAAGTATTAGAAGCACTCCGTTTGTTTAATTATGTTGTTTCTCATATCCGTAATAGGTGAAGAGAATTAAACTGGATCTTTTTTGAAGAAGAGACCATGAACTTAGTGTTTTATAGGATTAGGAGTAATTTTAGTGGTGACAATTGCTATTGAATTAAATCGTCATCGTGTTGGAGATTCTGTTCAACTTCGTTAGATGTACCTGATGCTAGCATGACATAGTCATCCGCAAATACATTTAATTCTAAGTGATTTACGTTTAGTCCAAAATTGTTGAAATGAGAACAGAATTGGACCCAGCATACATATGTAATGAGCGACTTCCAACACGTCTAGTAGAAGGCTTCTTATTTATTAAGAGTACACAGGGCGATACACTTCGTAACGCGGCTACACCCCAGGCTATCCAAACACGCAGCCCATCTCCGTCCTACGTAGCTACGCTGGCTGGTTGACGAGCGTAGCGGCGGCGACAGAGCTGGTCTTGCAGAAGAACAGCCACGTGGTCGAAGACGAAGAAATGACGACGGCAGCGACGCAACCAGGACCCAGACCCCACACTAACAGCCCCGAACCTCTGGTTCGGTCCCCCTTATATCTGCCCAACGTGGCCAAAGTCCACCTCTGGCCACGCCCCCTTTACAGAAACTTCGGGTTGGTTCCCGGAGCTTCTCGACTGACTCTGCCCTTGATCTTTATCCCAAATATGCCCCTTCATAATAAGGCATTGTGTAATGCAGCTATAACCGTAATTACCCCTACAGGTCGACAGGTGTCACCCTGTCATTACACATACACAAATACAGTCGTCAAAGGCCAATGGCACAAGATTCGCCATCAGTGTTGGGCGATGTGTTTGCCGTTGTGTGTGTGTGTGTGGGGAGCGGTAGTGTAGCGGTTAGTGCGCTGCGCTACAAACCTGGCGACCCCGGTTTGATTCCCGCTCACGGCCAACACCGGTGACCATTATCTGAACCGGTCCTGAGCCTCCCCTAGGTCGACTCAGCCTCAAGTGAGTACCTGGTGCAGTGTGTAAACATCGTCACTGGGGAGACAAAGGCGGCCGGGCGTGGTGTTGGCCACCCACCTTTTCGTGCCGGCCTTCAGAGGTGCTTGCTAACAGCACTTGCCCCAACAGTCTGCTAAGGCTACCCGGGGGATCTTTGTGTTTGTGTCCAAATGACCGTCAGGTTCGGACGTCGCTGGAGCTTCCTGATCTCCATCGTGCTGCAAACCGTGTCCGGGGTGCTGGTGTCCCTCGCGCCCAACTACGCCACGTTCGTCGCCCTGCGCACCCTACAGGGGATATTCAACATGGGCAGCTGGACGACTGGCTTTGTGATTGGTACACTATTGTCTGGACTTTTCCAAAATTGAAACAATTACTCGCAGCAGCAGCAACAACAACAAAAGCCATTGTGCAAAGTCGCCCGTTCTTGGCAGACTTGTAGGCCGGTGCTATGTTCGCCTTGTGCTGCACGTGGTCAAATCAATATTATTGGTAGGAACCTCCTGGTTCCACCAGCCCACAGGGGATTATTGTGTCCGGCCATCTTATTGTGTCCGGCCATCTAAAAATGGGAGGGGTGGGGCTGGGTGGGGAGGGGAGGGTGGGGAGGGGCTGGGTGGGGAGGGAGGGGCTGGGTGGGCAGGGGAGGGAGGGGAGGGGCTGGTTGGGGAGGGGAGGGTGGGGAGGCGCTGGGAGGGGAGGGTGGGGAGGGAGGGGAGGGTGGGGAGGGAGGGGCTGGGTGGGTAAGGCGGCCGCGTCACACACGAGGGGGTGGGTGGCCACCAACCACGTCCGGCCATCTTCACGACATTTTCCCCTCCACGTGGAGAATCAACAACATGCGTTTGGAGTATGCGGCTGCTTCCAATCTCTACATTATAAGCCGGCCAATTCGTGGGTGTTGTACTCTTTTTTTGAGGAACAGCTTTTTTTTCTCTCCACCATCCCAGGTCCCCACTCGGTCCCCACCCTTCACGCCGGCTTGTGCCCGCCCTCACAGTCGGGCATATTGTGCGGAATACACCACGTGGTGGTGCCGCCGTTGTTGACCCTGGCCACTGACCGAGCAACCCGACGTTCCTACCAGCTCCCTCTGCAGGAATGTGTTTACACTTGTGAGTGCTGGAATTTAGCCAATTTGAGCGCAGAACCAAACGGAATGTTCCTTTGTGCAATCATTGGTAACCGGGCTGACACTATCAACTGTACTTATTGCACGTTGTAATTGGGCAACAGGGCAATTATCAAAGTAAAAGAAATAAGATTTTTTTAATATTCATTGTTTTATATGAACATTCTTAAGTGCACATACGCTCATTTATCATAAATTAAACTGTTTGGAAGTTCAATTCTGTAAAATAATTCCAAAACCTGCAATCATTGACAAATGAACAACGCATTTTTTCCTGCGAGATACTGTATTCATCAAGTGAAGCTACACTCTTATTTTCTCTATGTTTAGGCAATTTCAGTAGCCTATTTAAATCGGATTTTGTCATCGAAGTGAAATGGATCGTGATCTATCGTGCAAATCAGCCACTTGCGAGGTGGATTCCAACTGAATACAGGCAGTCCTATGTTTACGTTGCTACAATTCCCGTCACCAACGAATTTGGGAACGTAATTCGATACAAAATAAAATACATCAATTCACTGCAACGTCGTTTTGAATTTTTGAAAGAAAACACCGAGGTGTGGTGACGACCCACACCGCCACAGCGCCCCCTAGCGGACGGTCCGGCCTCTGTGTTTACATCTCTGTGTTTACAAACATCGCAATGTTGGGTACCCTAACACCCATCTCTGTGTTTACAACATCACAATGTTGGGTACCCTAACTCCCATCTCTGTGTTTACAACATCACAATGTTGGGTACCCTAACACCCATCTCTGTGTTTACAACATCACAATGTTGGATACCCTAACACCCATCTCTGTGTTTACAACATCACAATGTTGGGTACCCTAACACCCATCTCTGTGTTTACAACATCACAATGTTGGGTACCCTAACACCCATCTCTGTGTTTACAACATCACAATGTTGGGTACCCTAACTCCCATCTCTGTGTTTACAACATCACAATGTTGAGTACCCTAACACCCATCTCTGTGTTTACAACATCACAATGTTGGGTACCCTAACACCCATCTCTGTGTTTACAACATCACAATCTTGGGTTCCCTAACACCCATCTCTGTGTTTACAACATCACAATGTTGGGTACCCTAACACCCATCTCTGTGTTTACAACATCACAATGTTGGGTACCCTAACACCCATCTCTGTGTTTACAACATCACAATGTTGGGTACCCTAACACCCATCTCTGTGTTTACAACATCACAATGTTGGGTACCCTAACACCCATCTCTGTGTTTACAACATCACAATGTTGGGTACCCTAACACCCATCTCTGTGTTTACAACATCGCAATGTTGGGTACCTTGACTCCAATCTCTGTGTTTACAACATCACAATGTTGGATACCCTAACTCCCATCTCTGTGTTTACAACATCGCAATGTTGGGTACCCTGACTCCCATCTCTAAAAATAAAGCATCTCTGGTGAGGTGTACTCAGTATTTACTTATTTTATATCGTTAAAACTTGCTATAGTGTAATATATTTCTGGCAATCTTTTGTCAAGGAAAACCATGCAGCCGCTGTGCATCTTAAAAGCAAAACAGTGGCAAAGAATGGCATGCGAAATAGTAAAAAAGAATCCAGTTGGTGTCCCTTGCCGGAGAATATTTGCATAGAACGCTCACCGAGTTCTGCCTCAGAGCAATACATTGCATGGTATGAAGTAACAATGGGAATTTATCTGCGGTGGCTTCAAATGAAAAATGTCAGCGTTGTTGCGAAAATCTGTGGGCAGAGTTCCTTCCCATTTAGTAGTCCAATCCAGTGGTGAAAGTTCCATGTTCTTTTGCCAAGAACCGGACCGTCTTGTTGCCTTCCCACAAAGAAGGTGCTCCACTAGCGCCCTCTCGTTTCACCGACCTTGGAGAGAGATGATGGGCACAGCTTGCCATGGCCCTAATTTCAACTTATAATCTCACGACTGGGTGCCAGTTACTATGCGAATCCAGAAATGTATGCCGCCGTCCAGTTTTATATAGTAAGGGATAATTACAAAATGTGACCTTTGTGCACGTACACGGATAAAGGTTATCAGTTAAAACAATAATTTAATCTAAATAGTAGCAGGATTTCAACATTGTCACCAAGTGCATGTCAGCCAACTGGCTTTCAAGAAATATATTGGTGTTTTTGATCATCAGGTGATGATGACCGTTTGTGTTATGGTCGAAACGTCGTGAGAATTTTTATTGTTTTATATATATTTTATTGTTTCCCTTCAACGTGACTTTACCGAAAGAGCTAAGAATATATTGGTGTGTGTAAAGGGAGTCTTCAATAGTCTTGGGTGATGCATATTGTCAGTGATTCATCAGCATAGTCTTGGGTGATGCATATCGTCCAGTGATTCATCTGCATTTGAACATTAATTCCAAAGTTAATATTCAGATTCTCTCACTGAAATGTAGGGGTTTCTCAATGTGCGTACTTTCTGGTCAGCAGGCCTACCAGCTGGCGAAATGTGGCTGCTTAAACCTGCTGCAATGAACGTGACTGTGAATGATTTCTATCAAACACAAAAGCCACGGGTCGGTAAATGCTGGCTCTGCGTATTTGTGTCTGCCTTTAACCGCCTTCCCATATTTTTTCTGCGCGCAGTGACCGAGTTTGTGGGCTCCAGCCAGCGCAAGGTGGTGCACATGGTGATGCAGATGTTCTTCAGCTTCGGAGTCATCATAATGCCTGGCATCGCTTACTACCTACGCACGTGGCGCTACCTGCAACTTGCGTTCACATTACCTAACGCCATCTTCATTACCTACTACTGGTAAGTGAAGGTGCTTCTGATGTGATGAGGATGTTCGGCGCTCTGCCAAACCACTGTTCGTTGAGGTCCAGCCCCACATCATGCAGGTCATGGTAGTTTATTTGACCATACTTCACAACGCTGGCCGGTGCGGGTTGGCGGAGGTGGGGAGCATATACGTAGGAGCCGTAGTGCTAGCCTTTATTATTTTTCGTTTATGGGTGACCACCACGCTGTGTGCAAAGCCCATGAGAGTAAAGGATCTTACTAGATTTGAAGTTTCCGTGACTGCAAGGATCCATATTCGTTGGTTCTTTTGGTAAAGTCACGTAGGTAAAAATAAAATAAAACAAAAATGAAAACAACTAAATTGTGACTTTACCGAAAGAACCAAAGAACATAGTAAAGGATCTCTTGATACAAGTGAAAAAGCCATGAGCTCAGAAGAAACCAGTATCGACGAGGACACTTGTACTATGCAATGTTGAATAATATTTGTTGAAACAAATGTATATATGTGATGAATGAAGGCTGCCATTACTCTGTGTGCACTAACTTATTGTCTTGTTCACGATTGTAGGTTGCTGCCTGAATCGCCGCGCTGGCTGCTCTCGCGGAATCGTAAAAAAGAAGTGGTCGCCGCTTTCGAGAAAATTGCACGAGGCAACAGGCGAGTTCTGTGCAGCTCCTTCCAAAAGGTGCGCCCCACAAATGATTTCGGCCCCCACACCAACCCCAGCTAAGTAATATTTTCACTGGCTATAATTATCTATCATTCAAGTCTGGTGAGGATTACACCAGGGACGTGCGGTCAGGGGAGGCAGGGGAGGCAGAGCCTCACCTGTCATACTCCAATGAAAATGGCTGTTACGAAAAGTAGAAAAAAAAAGAATAATCAAATAAAATAAATATTAAGATTTTTCCACTGATCTGTTTTATAAATGTCATTTCTGTACAATTCCAATAATTTCTAAAGTCAAAATCGCCAAATTTGCGGAGCTCCGCTGCAAATACAGGAAGAGACGAGAGGTGATGCAGCGACGAGCTCAGCCTCCCCTCTGATTGCGCAACCCCTCAGTAACTGGATGGAGCACGGGCAATCAGCGCGTGCCTGTATGTCACCAATGTAATGTTTGTAGACCCCTTTATTTCATGTCATCGCCTTCTATACTCCAGGTAACTTATTTCACGTATGTGTATAAATAGATTTAGGCTCGCTGGTCTCGTCATGAAACTGCAATGAAAAAGCACCAGGGGAGGCAGCTATCACATCTGCCTCACTGAGGGGAACGTGTCTAATACGCCTCCCTCAGTGAGAACACGCCCCTCTCAGTCAGGCCACGCCCCCTCCGTGAGGCCACGCCCCCCTCAGTATGTGAATCCGGCTCTGACACTAGTCAGTGCTTCCCCAGCCATTGACCTCATCGCACGTCACTAGATTATACTAATATGATAATTGTATCGTGTACACCTACCTTTCGTTTGTTCATTCGTTTGTCAATCTGCTTGTCGTGGTGAGGGTCGTGGCAGGAGCATGTTGAGTAGGGCGGTCCATACCTCCCTTTCCCTGGAGACAGACTCTCGCTCTTCCTGGGGAATTGCCAGGCGTTCCCAGGCCAGCCGAGCGACGTAGTCCCGCCAGCGTGTCCTGGGCTGGCCCTGTGGTCTTCGCCCAGGGAGACGTGCCCAGTAGTTTTCCAGGCGGAGTCTATTGGGCGGCATCCTTACCAGGTGCCCGAACCACCTCAACTGGCTCTTCTCGATCCGAAATAGCAGCGGTTCTACTCTGAGGCTCTCCCGGATTACTGAGCTTCTCATCCGATCATGGAGATTGAGCTTGGCAACCCTACAGAGAATTACCCAAAGCTCATGACCATAGGTGAGGGTGGGAATGTAGATCGACCTGTAAACCGAGAGCTTTGTTCGAAATCTCCGCTCCCGCTTTACTACTACGGAACGGTACAGTGCCCGCAACATTGCGGACGCCGCACTGATCCGCAAGCTGATCTCCCGCTCCCATTTACCATCACTCACGAAAGAGACCCTGAGGTACTTAAACTCCTCCAATAAGGGCAGCTGTTCCCCCCTCACCTGAAGAGAACAATCCACCGTCTTCAGGGAGTGAACCATGACCTCAGATTTGGAGGTGCTGATCCAACCGTTGGAGGTGCTGATCTCAGCCGCCTCACACTTGGCATCAAACTTTTCAAGTGCATGATGGGGATCACAGACTGATGAGGCAAAAATCAGCAATGCCACCTCTATGCCCCCGTACTGGATACCAGTGGGTCCTAGAGTTGCTGCCTGACAGGAACCAACTGCCTTGAGGCCACAGATTTTCGCAGCTGCATTCACAATAGGGGTCCTGAAAATCATTTATTCGGACTCAATGTTCATGACCTCCCCTAAAGTGCAAAATAAGTTTTCCTGGAGATGGAAGTTGAAGTCTTTCTGCATTGGGTCTTCCGCCAGACGTTCCCAGAAAACCCGCACTATTCGTTTGTCTATCTGGTTGGTACCCCAAGCATCGGATCTAACTTACCACCAGGTGGTGATCAGTTGACAGCTCTGCCCCTCTCTTCACCCGAGTGTCCAGAACATACGGCCTTAGGTCCGATGATACAGCCCAAGGTGTTCTGGTTCACAGTACACCTATGAGTATCCCACTTCAGCAATTGTTTCTTGCTGTGGTTGTTCCACCTGATGACGGGCACTTGTGTTGCACCCGAAACGTCGTGATTTAATTTATTTTATTTTATACCTACGTGACTTTACCGAAATAACCAAAGGGTATAGTTTCGAACATGGTGTTTGTCATTGACATTCCTTGATTAGCGCAGAATTCCAATAACATCTCGCCGTTTGGGTTCAGATCAGGGGGGCCATTCCTCCCAATCACGCCTCTCCAGGTATCTCAATCGTTTCCCACGTGAGCATTGAAGTCGCCCAGTAAGATTATAGAGTTGGTAGGCCGCACTCTGTCGAGCACTGCACCCACAGTCTCCAAGAAGGTCGAATACTCTGAAGTGCTGTTTGGTGCATAAGCACAGACAACAGTCAGAGTTTTCTTTTCTGAGACCCGAAGTCTCATTGAGGCGACCCTCTCATTCACTGGGACAAACTCCAACTGAACAGCACCCAGCCAGGGGCTTGTGAGCTGCTGCTCCCTGTGTCTGCCTGAGCTGTTACTGTGTCTACCTGAGCTGCTGCTCCCTGTGTCTACCTGAGCTGCTACTCACTGTGTCTACCTGAGCTGCTGCTCCCTGGGCCTGCCTGAGCTGCTGCTCCCTGGGCCTGCCTGAGCTGCTGCTCCCTGGGCCTGCTTGAGCTGCTGCTCCCTGTGTCTACCTGAGCTGCTGCTCCCTGTGTCTACCTGAGCTGCTGCTCCCTGGGTCTGCCTGAGCTGCTGCTCCCTGGGCCTGCCTGAGCTGCTACTCACTGGGTCTGCCTGAGCTGCTGCTCCCTGTGTCTACCTGAGCTGCTGCTCCCTGTGTCTACCTGAGCTGCTGCTCCCTGTGTCTACCTGAGCTGCTGCTCCCTGGGCCTGCCTGAGCTGCTACTCACTGGGTCTGCCTGAGCTGCTGCTCCCTGTGTCTACCTGAGCTGCTGCTCCCTGGGTCTACCTGAGCTGCTGCTCTCTGGGTCTGCCTGAGCTGCTGCTCCCTGTGTCTACCTGAGCTGCTGCTCCCTGGGTCTGCCTGAGCTGCTACTCACTGGGCCTGTCTGAGCTGCTGATCCCTGGTTTGCTCAGAAATGCTCCTCATCAGCAAGGAGCCGACGCTTCTGCAGGAAGCTCTCGACCGTCTTGTCCCGCTCCTTGAGGTTTTTACCCTTCACCTGCTTGATCAAGTTATTGCCTTGTTCGCTAATATGCTCCTTGAGAAAAAAAAAAGAGGGATGTGTTAGGTCACATCCACGCTAGCGTAGAGAAATAGCAACGCACAAAGGTGTGCTTACAAACAGCAAGAACTTGGAGCTGACCGCCACCACAAACTCAAGCACACGGGCGAGAAGCCGTACATGTGCGACGAGTACGGTAAGCATTTTCTCGCGCTCGGCCTACCTGTACGTTTTTCACTTGTGTGTTTAACTGTTGTGTACCTTTGTTATTTTAAAGATGGCAGTTCTGCTATGTATCCTACTACTGTCCCTCCCAGCCATATCTAGTGCCACACTCAATTCTACCACCGGCAACCCTCGTTATTTATAGTCCATACTTGATGCTCCATTTTCCACAACACCTGCTAGTGAAACAGCTTATAGCCACTTCTACACTCCATCATTGTATCCTTTTAAACCCTATCTCTGTGCCATTACTTCACCAGCACTCCTTCCTAACTCCATTCTGCTCTTTAAAATGTTGCCATCTGTGAGCTGCTGCTATTCGTCCAAGGTTCGCCGCTCTTCATCCTTTCACAGAAAATACCTGTGCAAACTATTAATTCTACTTTTCTTATTTCTGGGAGGTATTGAGCTTCACCCTGGCCCAAATGTAAAGAACTCATATAATTCTATAGATTTGTCTGGCAGAAAAGGTGTTGGTGTTCTACATGTCAACATCAGAGGGCTTGTGATTAAATTAAGTCAACTAAAACTAGAAGTGGCAAATCGGGACCCGGACATTTTCTGCCTTACAGAAACATTTCTCACTCCGGCCGTCAATGACTTGCAGTTTACGATTGACAACTACAAGCTTTTTCGGCTTGACCGAGGATCTAAAGGAGGTGGAATTGAAATCTATGTTCGTAGTACTATTGCATGTAAACCAGCTCATTCCTTGTTGAAAAAAATAGTGCTTTGAAGGTCTGGCTCTAAAAATCACTCTCCCTAAAAATCAACAGTTATTGGTAGTGTGCTGCTATAGACCACCTCGTAGTAAGGATCTTGAAGCTCGAACTGCACTGAGAGAGCTTTTTGGGGGCCTCCCTAAATGTAAAATAATTGTAATGGGTGATCTGAATTGGAATTGGCTAAACCCGCCGGCCGTGGCCAAAAATTTTGCAGATAAATTTAACCTATTTCAATTAATAAATGTCCCCACAAGACCAAACCTAAAAAATCCGGGACAGTCATCTCTGCTTGACGTCCTGTTGACTAATGCCCCTCACAATTTCCCACTTACTAGTGTTCTGGGTAATAACCTTAGTGAGCACTCCTTCATATTTGGGGTGAGATCATCAGCCAGACCCAACGCCCCCCCTAAATTGGTTGATAAGCACTCCATGAGGCATTTCAGCATACAGGCATTTACTAATGATGTGCTTCACTCGGATATTGACAAAGTCTGCGATATCCCCAACCTGACTATGGCTTGGGAGACCTTCAGGGACACGTTTCTCCAAATTCTTAACAAACATGCTACGTTGGTAAAATTTTAATTTAAAGGCAACCGCCCACCATGGTTTGATCCTTTGATTACTAATCTCATGAAAACTAGGGACAAGGCTTGGGCATGTGCTCAGAAAAGTAATTTGGTCAATGACTGGCTATAATACAGGATTTTAAGGAATAGATTTGTAAAAAAAAATGCGGCATGCAAAAAATTATTACGTTTCCTACTCTTTGGTTCTATTCGGTAAAGTCACGTAGGTAAAAAAATAAAACAAAAATCACGACGTTTCGGCCACAACACAAGCGGCCTTCATCAGGTGAAGGGACCAGACTGTCTCGAAGACTGCGCTGAGAGACAGTCTTCGAGACAGTCTGGTCCCTTCACCTGATGAAGGCCGCTTGTGTTGTGGCCGAAACGTCGTGATTTTTGTTGTTTTCTTTTTTTACCTACGTGACTTTACCGAATAAAACCAAAGGGTATGGATCCTTGCAGTCACGAAAGCTTCAAATCTAGAATTATTTCGTTTCCTCCACTCTCCTGGAATCACATAGCAACGCCAGGATCTTCTGGAAAACAGTCAAATGTATCGAAAAGGCATCTAACACAGATAATCTTCCCGTTGCGCTTAACCGAAATGGGGACTATTTTTCAGAGCACCAAAAAATAGTTGACGACAATTTTAACCTTAATTTTCTGAAGCTGGTGACCTTTTTGATAATGTATTGGGAGTCACCCCTGCTCATGCAATTTCCTACACCCCTGTCCAAACATTAAACGAATTTAATTTCCAGCCTATCCACGAAAGTAATGTTCTGAAACAACTATCCTACCTCAAAGGGTCCTCCTCTATCGGAGCGAATAGTATTCCCGTCTTTGCTCTGCTAATTTTTGGTCAGCTAATATACAAACCTATAGCCCATATTTATAACCTGTCCATCAAAGAAGCATCAGTTCCTCTGGAATGGAAACATTCCTATGTTCGTCCACTTCACAAAGGGGGCCCTAAAGATGATCCAAATAACTACCGAGCTATCTCAGTTTTGTCACCGTTGATGAAATTTTAAAAAAATATATATTGAACTACCAAATTAGCAGTTTCCTGTCCGACAACAATCTCTTACATCGAAACTAATCTGGGTTCCGGAAAAAATACAGCATCACATCTACTGCATTAGACTCTCTAATCACATTTACAATAGCCTTGATAATAAACAGTACTGCGCCAGTCTTTTTCTTGACTTATCCAAAGCCTGTGATAAAGTAGACCACAACACCCTGCTTAGTAAAACTAAGTTGCCTCCGTTTCTCCAAACACGCAGTGGAATGGTTAAAAAATTACCTCTCTTCTCGCACCCAAACTGTATTCATAGATGGTTGGAGGTCAAACAGTGTTAAGATAACAAAAGGGGTTCCACAGGGTTCCATCCTCGGCCCCCTTTTCTTCTCTCTTTATGTCAATGACTTGGGCACTGACCTGGATCATTCCAGGGTAAATCTGTTTGCAGATGACACGATACTGATTACTGCTGGCCGCACTCCAGATGACGTGATTGCTAAGCTCCAGGGTGATTTCAACAAACTACAACATCAGCTAGTTGCTCTTAAACTAGTCCTGAATACCTCCAAAACCAAGGTGCTATGCTTCTCACCGGGACTAAAGCAGGAAGTTATTTTTCCCCAATTACATTCCTTAAATAATTATCAAATAGAGCAAGTCAAGATCTATAAGTATCTTGGGGTCATCTTTTATTCAAAATTGAATTTTCAAGATCACATTGATTATATTGGTAAGAATACAAAATTAGAAATTAGTTTTCTGTATCGACACAAGCACTGCTTCCCCCCTCTGTTCCGTTTGGAATTGATAAAAGCTACCATACTGCCTCTACTTGATTACTGTGACATCGTATATAAATCAGCCCCCAGTCCTATACTGAAGAAGCTTGACTCAATTTATCACTCGGCCTTAAGATTTGCATTGAACTGCCCATATAAGACCCACCACTGCGATCTCTACATTGGGTCAAACTTAACATCTCTTAATGATCGACGGCTTGTGCATCAGATCTTATTTATTCACGATGTACTTACAAAAAAAACCAGCAGACTACCTGCTGGATCTCCTCACTGTTTCGAAGAACAAATGTGACCTAAGGTCTTCGCTCATTTATCAGCTTCACATTCCTTATTGCCATACAAACACTGGAGGAAGGGCCTTTGCTATTGATGCCCCCAGGGTCTGGAATGCTATCGCCAATAAACTCAAAACTGCTCTTGAGGAGCTGTACACCCCTAGCTGCCACTGCTATGCAGAGTGGCCTGAAATCAAATGTATCGCTCCGGATGAACGCTGCAAAGTATAATCTTGAATTTAGATTATAGTGTGCTGATCTTTAAAGGTGCATTGGAAATTTGTGACACTCCTACTGATACTCCTGCTGTTATGGAGTGACTAATGCAGCCAGTTATGGCTGCAAAGTTTGGTCGTACATGTTATGTATATCGTTTATTGTTAAATTTTAATTACAGTTCCTATGATCACTATTACATTGCTTTTAAAGCTTAATTTTGGTGAATTCGAAAACGTTTGGTTTAGCCATGTTTGTTTGTTGAAGTACAGACTTCACCTGATAACTTTGATCTAAATTGTCTTATGGTTGCTATTGTTTGACTTGCATCCCACTGGGATTTTTGCACACAGCGTTGATATACGGTGTTTTTTCTGGAAGATTTTGCTGTTTTTTCCTGGAATTTTCTGTTGCGCGTAGTCACTTTAAGATGTTCTTTGTTCATGATTTTGTTTGTTACGGTTGCATCGGAGTCAAGAGCCACATGGCTCACAGGGCTATACCTAATCAATGAAACTGAATGAAAACTGAGTATCCCTACACCCACCTGGGATCTCTCATCAGGGGTTACTCTGGAATAGGAGACCACCCCCGATCGGGAAGTTTGGTTCCAGTGCCAATGCTGTGTGTCGAGGTGAGACTGACTATATCTAGTTGGTACCTTTCCACCTCCTCCACCAGCTCTGGTTCCTTCCCCCTCAGTGACATGAGATTCCATGTCCCAATAGCTCGTGTCCATCGCCAAGGTCCAGTCCATCTGAGACCATCTCTCTCTCTGCCATACTGGCATCGCACCTGCCCCTCACCCTTCGTCCTGCAGATGGTGGGCTCACAGGATGGTGCCACATAGCCATTTGGGGCTGGGCCTGACCGGGTTACGAAGGTCACCCAGCCACCTGGCACTTGCCGGAGAACACCACCCCCAGGCCTGGATCCAGGGGAGTGTCCCGGTGTACCTTTTCTAAGCGAGGTTCTTTGATTTTTGTATTTTTTTTACCATTCATGAGGGGCTTTTTTAACCGTTATTTGCCTGGAACCTCCCCCCAGACCTGTTCGCCAAGGGAGATCTTACCAGGCGTATAAGACTCCAGGCGACATAGCTCTGAGGGTCATTGGAACACACAAACCCCACCACCACGATAATGTTATGATCCCTGGGTGGGGCGTACACCTACCTGTGTTAAGATTTTCAATAAATCTCTCTCTCATGTATGGGATTAATATGGTGATTGTACTCTGCATCCCTATCTGTTTTAGGGTTTTCAGGCAATAATAGCACCTGACATGAAGTCCCCCACCCCATCTCTTATGGACCTGCTGAGGTCCCCAAAGATTCGCAAGTACACCCTGGTGCTCATGTTCTACTGGTGGGGACGTGCAACATATCAACATGTCAATGTGCACCACATCAGTAGCACTGATTATTTGGCATCTACGTACATTAATACAAACATCGTCTCTCTTCACAATCTCGTATAACCTTGCCCAATTCAAGAAATGTGTTGTTATCAACTTTGATAGTCCTGTTTGTTGCTGGCTGTTTAACGTGTTAAGCTTTTGGGCCTGTGTTCAGCAAATGTATATATATAAAAAAAAAACATTATGGCTTGCACAAGTGCACACATTGTTTCGCTTCGTGGGACTGAAAAGATCTGGTCCAAGTTTCCAATATTTATACAATGTGCATTGCCAGAATAGGTAAAAGACAGCTATCTTCCCATAATGTCTTCTAAGCAGTGCTAAGTTTCAGCTGTAACTGTCTAGGGCTGAGCTCTAAGAGCTTGGGAGTTGGGGGGGGAGGGCGGCGCGTAGAAATATACCATGAGAAATTAATCTATGATCTAAAATGTGGAGTTAACATGTGATGGTCATGTGTAAGAGCAGTGCCAGTGATGTAGCTTGCTAAGTGTGCAGGCGGCACAGCTGCATGAAAGCTCACAGGCTGGACGGGCTCATGCGCAGGAGTTTGTGAGTTCGATCCCAACCCTGGGGATGCGTCTATATTTAGAGTTTGCGTGTTCTCTCCCTGTGGGTGCATATATTTTATTTACGGGTGCTCCGGTTTTGCCCACCATATTGAGAAACATGCGTTTCACGTATTTGGCTGCCATACATTTCCACATGATAAGCCACTTCGTTGAGCTATCATCTGTGGCCAGGCCACTTATGAAAAAGAGCTATATAGCTAAGTGGGCCTTAGCTGGTAAAATATAAATAGTTTTATGTATCTTGAACTTGTTTCGCATCATACATAAGCCAACCGTGTTAATCAGAGGCAACGTCATATGAACTATCTCTGCCTCGTGGTCGTGCGGATTTTATTTCCGGGTCCTCCGGTTTTTCCCTCCACATTTAGACGCAAGCGTTTAGAATATTAGTCTGCCACTCTAAATTCATACATATTATAATTCAGTATAAGTCACTTCGATGAGCTTATCACGTGTGGCCAGATCGCCTCTGAAAAAGAGCTAATATACTTTTACGTGACTTTACCGAATAGAACCAAAGAGTATGGATCCTTGCAGTCACGAAAGCTTAAAATCTAGAAGCTAATAGTATTTTGGGCTTTACCTGGTAAAATAGAATAGTTTAAATATTTTACATATGAAGAGGGGGGAAATTGGACTGGCTAGGCCCCCCCTCCACCTTTTCGTTCCTTCCACCGGGTTCCATGCCAACCGCGATTATATTTACCGGTATATGTACGCCACTGAGCAGTGCAATCGCTTGTGCGTGTTGCTTGCAGGTTCGTGGTAGCCGTGGTGTACCAGGGGTTGGCGCTGAGCACGGGGAACCTGGGAGGGAACCTGTACGTGGCGTTTCTGCTGGGTGGCGTGGCTGAGATCCCCGGAGCCCTGTTGGTGATTGCCCTCGTGGACCGCATCGGACGGCTGCCCCTCATGTCCGTGGGGCCCATCCTCTCGGGCCTCTTCTGCCTCGCGTCCACTCTGGTGCCCGTCGGTATGCAGCTCCAGTCGATGAATAATGATCTAGATTAAAAAATATATATTCACTAAAACTAAACTATTTTTATTTGACCAGGTAAGGTCCACTGAGCTATATAACTCTTTTTCAGAAGCGACCTGGCCACAAGTGATAGCTCAACAACGTGGCTTATCATGTGGAAATTATAGCAGCCAACTACTCTAAACGCGTGATGTTTATTCTAAATGTGGACAGAAACACCGTAGGACTCAGAGAAAAATCCACGTGACCACGGGGAGAACATGCAAAATCCAAATATAAAACAGGCGTCAGGGTCGGGTTCGAGCCGACGACATCCTGTATACCAGGTGAAGCAGTTAACATATCGTCACTGGTTGCTGAGCATAGGCCCGTAATACCAAGAGGAGAGCATCAAATAGCACTTTTGAAGGTGTAACAGATAGGAGTTAATAGGTTTCTTCAATTAAGCAAGGTGATGAGAACTTGGGGGAGGAAAGACGCGAGGACAAAATTCCAAAGTTGAGCAGTGCGGGCAAAGAAGCAGCGAGAGAAGTGTCGTGACCTGCGGCGTGGTGGTTGAACACAGCGAGGGATGGGACGACACAGTCAGTCTGGTAAACCGGGTGGAGGAGTACATGAGTGAAAGTTCATGGGAACAGTAACCATGGAAGTAGCAATAGAAGAATGTCTTACGTTGCGCTCTTTCAAGTAAAATGAGATATGACTTGGTGTCCAGCAGGGGGAGTGCTTGGGTTTTGCTGTAAACTCAGATTTATTACATTTTTACCAGCTAAGGCCCACTGAGCTATTTAGTTATTTTTCAGAAGCGACCTGGCTATCACAAATGATTGCTCAACGAATATGCTTACCATGTGGACATTTATAGCAGCCAAATACTCTAAACGCATGTTTCTAAATGTAGAGAGAAAACCCGGAGGATCCAGATTAAAATCCACGCGATCGCAGGGAGAACATGCAAACTCCAAATATATAGGGTCGCGATCGAATGCACGACCACCCGTATACGACGCAAGGGAATTAACATCACTGTCACTCCACCGTGTGATTGATAACAACCATACAATAACTCCTTATTTACATGAGACAATGATCCCCCGTATAGCACTTAACAGACTATTGGGGCAAGTACTGTTAGTGAGCGCCTATGAAGGCCAGAAGGTGGGTGGCCGGCACCACGCCTGGCCCCCTGGCCAGCACCACGCTAGCCGCCTTTGTCTCCCTCGTGCCAATGTTTACACATCGCACCAGATATTCATTTGAGCCCGCGTCAATTTAGGAGAAGCATAGGACCTGTTAAGGTAATCGCCACTGGTATTGGCCATGAGTGAGAATCAAACTCGGGTTACCGGGTTCATAGTGCAGTGCGCTAACCATTATAATACCACTCTCCACACTGGCACACACCGTTTTAGAGATGGAGTGGCTGTATGTGGCACTGGTCATGCTGGCCCGCCTCTGCATGACGATGGCCTACCAGATGGTGTGTCTGCTCAGCAACGAGCTGTACCCCACGTTCCTCAGGTGAGCGAACGCTTGTGTGGGAGAACACGGTGATCAAGGGGACGGTAGCGAGCTGGTGGTTGGTGGAGCGCATTACACAGGCGGAATTAAAAAAAAACATCGAGATTGAAAACTCATTTATTTAGAACTGCTTTTTGTGTTTAGTTTGTTGTCCTTTCCCCACACCTCTGATTCGCACGGTTTGGCTACATACGGTGTAAAAGAAGTTCAATATACATGCATGCATGCCCGACCAAAATAGGGGGAAATTAGCGAAGAAAAAATCCCACTACATTTTTATCTCAAAGCCTCTACATGTCTCCCACCAATATCAATAATACGTGTATTCAATATTAAAATAGAGTTTGAGTTAATTTGATTTGTTCCACGGATGATCCCATTTAGCCAGTTGCCTGGCTATTTTATAAGGGACACTTATGGTGCGCAAGCATCGCAACAAATACACAAATACACAAACATCAGTATTGTTGCAGAGACCAAGTACAGCTATGTACAGGGTCAATACTCTTTGGTTCTTTCGGTAAAGTCACATAGAAAATAAAATCAAATATTAATAGAATACGACGTTTCGGTTGCAACACAAGCAACCATCCTCAGGTAAGGATGAATGACAAAACACAGACACGGGAACAGCATAGGCAGACACACATGCAGAGAGAGACACACGCAAAGACACACCGAGCAAGACACACACCAAGACAAACAGAAGGACAACGAATCTGTGCCGAGGCCTTAAATAGAGAGAGGGTGGAGGGGGCGGGGCAGAGAGAGGACTGGGGAGGCGGGACCAGCCGACAAATGAGGGGACAAAGAGGGAGCAGTGTGGAATTCCGGAATACAATGGCCGGAGGAGAGACAATGGTTTAGAGCAAGAAAAGCGAAAGTTTGAGAAGGCAAATTTAATAAAATTAAGAAATGTAATGCAATGCAACACAGAGGGTCGGTTAACACACAGTTAACGCATAGCCTGGTTGATTAACGTTCTTACAAAGATTGCTAAATTAGAAGTAAAGTGTGATAAAACACAGACACGGAAACAGCATAGGCAGACCCACAATCAGAAAGAGACACACAACACAAAGAGTAATTTCTGCAGTCACGAAAGCTTCGAATTTATGTACAGGGTCCTGAAGGAATATTGTAAAAACAGTGCAACTCTTTGGTCTCCTCTGTAAGATACAGCGCCATCGCTTTCACAATATCCCATCACCCATTGAGAAGATGGTAGTAAGGTGGCTCGATTAGAAAGTAGTGGGGCATCGATAGCCCAGTAGTGGCGCATTCGCCCCTTGTTGCAGAGGTTCACGGTTCAAATACAGCGCCCGCCCTGGTTAATAATGCGCGTCGTGTGTATTACCGTGGACGTTGAAGATCCTGTGACGTCAATTCGCCAGAGCAGGGCATTCATTGAGTTCCAGCGGCATGGTCCAAAATTCCCAAATAAAAAAAAATCCTTCAAATTAGTCAATTGGGAGTCTAACACAGCAGAAATAATCGCTGTCTACTGCGTAATCTTGCAGGACCCTCATGATTAAGAGTCATGAGGCTTAGTGAGGCTTTCCTGGGTAAACAAGTGAAATAATAATGATTTTAATAAATGTATTATCTTGTGTCACGATAGCAAACCTATCAGTAGATTTTACAAGACAAACTCATATAAAATAAGCCATTCATATTTCTTTTGGTTTGGTGTTTTTTTTTTATTTAAAATATGCTCACATTGAAGGGAGCATCTTTCGTGGACCATGTACGATGAGTACGATCAGACTAATTGTGAACTCGCCAGAAAATGTTGTTTCGCCACTGTTTTGTGCAGGAATTTTGCCGTGTCTATATGCTCATCACTGTCTGGCATTGGTGGGATAGCTGCGCCGTTTCTCCTCTACCGACTGTACAACATCTGGAAGCATCTTCCACTCATAATATTTGGTATAAATTGTACACACACAGACACATTGGTGCACTTGCACACATGCACACGCAAATGTCTTGCTAGAGCCAACAATCCATTACATTTGCAAATTGTGGACAACACAAACAGATATGAAAGTCTGTTATCTATTATATATGCAAAAGAGGAGCTATGTGGCACGTACTCATAATCCCTTCATTATTGTGGGTAATAGGTCATGAATAACATGAGTGCCACTTCGTAGGAGAAATCAACGGTGGTTGCCCTATGAGCAGACTCGTTCCTGTCATTGGAATGAGGAATTCCCACCACTGGCTCAGAGTTGTAAACAGGAGATAATTGGCAATGCATCGATGCTAATTTGAGCAATAAATCACTTTGACTTTGAATAGCAGGAGATAACTGACGATAAACTCTGCTTCTTTGTGATGTTGCGTATCCATGAATTGGCTCTGTCCACTTCATCACAGATAACGGGAATTACACTCGTTTGTTTTTTCATATCATCATCTAGTGATACACAGGGCAGCTACACAGGATTGTGACAAACTAGAGTAGGCTGCATGCGTGTCAAACAAAGATGCATCTTAACACTTAGTAGGTTTTCACGACCAATATTATCCATAATCTAGGTTTTTGTTGTGTTAGATTGCGTATATATAACTGTGTCATTAAACCTGCCACCACCCGACACAGCCAATTAGTAAGGTTTGTCACGTAATCAAAACATGCCAGTTAGTTACTCGTTCAGCACACCGGTGTTTCGCTGGTAATTACAATCAGCCTCATCAGGTGACAGCTAGAATACTGGTGAAACGTTGTACTCGAATTGTAAATGTTGTGGGTCTACTCTGCAACATACCGATATATTATTTGGGTCTTTCAGTAAAGTCACGTAGATAGGTTCAAAGAAAATAACAAAAAACAAAAACGTTTTGATCACAACACAAGCGGTCGTCATCAGGAAAAGGGGGATTAGCTTCTAAAGGCAACTGTTTATAAAGGTTTGAAATGGGCGTAGCCCAAATGTCAGCAGCCAATGTAAGTGGTGGGCAGCGACTGTGGCGGTGGTGGGGTTTCCACCAATCAAAGGGCTGCCAGGTAAAAATTTGCATATAATGTAACATCGCCGAGCATCCTCCACGGCGAGTGCGCCAAGGTGGCTATGTTAATGTGAGAGATTAGCACGTTAATGGGAGATCGCCGAGCCTTCTACACGGCGAGCGTGCCAAGGTGGCTATGTTAATGTGAGAAATGAGCATGTTAATGTAAGAGATTAGCATGTTAATGGGAGATCGTGAAGCAGCAGCGTCGAGGATGGCACGCGAGGTAGCTGTGTTAGTGAGAAATTGAATATGTTAATGTAAAAAATAAGAGCCGAAAATAACAACTAAGGAAGGTGGTAGGATGCGAACATCACAGCCAGTTATGACTTAAACTGGTTAATAACGTCCTTCCAATGATTGCTCAGTTTGTACCCATCTTCTTGTGTCTGTGTCTATATATATGGATGGCTTCATGAACGAATCTTTGTTGATAGCGAATGGGTTTGAAAAGTACCTTCGTCTTAGAGAAATCAATTTCGTGTGAGCCCACCGCATTAAAACAATGGTCAGCCACAGCCGAGGTATTGGTCCTACCGTGTTTCAGATCTGCCTTTTATGTTCACAAACACGCTCCGAGACATATCACTTAGTTTCCCCAATGTAACATACCGATATGTGGAACTAGTAACTAATCGGCATCTTTTGTTTACGTGACAGCCCTTACTAACTGGCTGTGTCGGGTGGTGGTGGGTTTAATGACACATTTTTTTTACGCGATCTAACCCAAAAAAACCCATTATGAAGCTGAATCTGTGCAGGTAGCACTTTTGTAGCTTGGCCCCAGCAACCTGTGATGCAGTGGCACAAGAAACGTGCGACCACTGGGAAGGCTGTGGTGGCAGGGAGAGGCCATCTAGCAAGTGCCCGTAGGACGTCCTCCATTACGCACTGTCAGGGGTTACCTTGCCCTTAGCCCTCGTCTAACCAAAGGCCGAACCTCCAAGGCAGGGTGCGGGAGCTCTTATCGCTGAGCATGGGAGCCATTGATAAGGTACGGCCAGCCGGGTCAGCTGGACCAATGGCTAGGGCAGTGGAGGGCACTACTTCTCGCTTGAAGGGGGGTGCCACGATGGCGAGATGTTAACGACCTTGCCTGGTATACAGAAGGTCGTGGGTTCAATCCCGACCCTGATGCCTGCTGTATATTTGGTGTTTGGGTATTCTCCCCATGGTCGTGTGGATTTTTCTCTGGCGCCTCCGTTTTTTCCTTCCACATTTATAAACATGGGTTTCGAGTATTTGGCTGCTATAAATTTCCACATGATAAGCCACTTTGTTGAGTATCATTTGTGGCCAGGTTGTTTTCCCAAACTTCCAATTTCTCTCCCCCTGCCGCTCTCTAAATTTTACTAGGTTTGTCAAACTTCCAATTTCTCTCCGCCTGCCGCTCTCATTGACATGCGAATTTCTCTGCCCCACCCCTCTCTCTATATAATGCCTCGTCACAGAGGCGTTGTTTCCCTGTGTCTCTCTGTGTGTGTCTCTCTCTCTGTGTCTCTCCCCCATTTGTGTCTCTCTATGTGTCTCTCCCCCATGTGTGTCACTCTCTCTGTGTGTTTGTCTCTCTGTGTCTGTCTCTCTGTGTATGTGTCTCTCTCCGTGTCTGTGTTTGTCTCTCTCTGTATACATTCATTCACACCTGATGACGGTTGCTTGTGTTGCAATCGAAAAGTCGTATTCTATTCATTTTATTTTCTTTCTACGTGACTTTACTGACAGAACCAAAAAGTAATTGCAATCCTTCTAAAGTCCAGCAAATAGCATGTAACAGTGTCCATCATGCTGCCAACTTGTAATTGCAAATACCCTTTAAACGTGCACACACTTACGCCTGTGTGTGCTTACAGGGATTCTAGCGATTGCTGAAGGATTTTTAATTCTGCTTCTGCCAGAAACAAAAGGCCTGCCTTTGCCTGAAACCATTCAAGATGCGGAGAACATCGGAAAGTACGTGTCGAGAGCGTGTTTTGTGGATCACATTTTAAACGTTATTTCATATTGCAGAACATCTTAGTACTTTGATGTCAACAGTTGTATGCAAATATTTATTAAAAATCGCTGTAATGCCAAGACGTTATGAAAGTAGATGGTGCTTTAGAAAATGAAGTGCATATATTACAAATCTATTCTTTAAAAAAATGTGGTATGCTACAAATGTATTTGTAGATTTGTAAACAATTGATATATAAAGTATATAGGACCACAACATGTACAAAATGTCATCACTGAGAGTGAAAAAAATCAACCTCCTCGCCAACCTGCCTTCAATGTCAATATTTTTTCCCCGCGGCGATTGTGTTTGTATGATGTCGTACAGGATTCAAAAGGCAAAGCGGGCATGCAGGTCGAACTCGCACAGAGATGTGATATATTCACTTGGGAAAGCAGCGAGCAACAACATGGAACTTGAGTGTATATAAGCGTCGGGTGAAAGGACCCTGTGCGAAACAGCTGTCTGAAAACGCGAAGATGATTTTTATTTTTGTGTTCCCAGTAGTTGAAGTTAACGCATACACTGTGAAAATCAAATGCTGTACTGATGTATTAATTCGGTTACTCTGGTGTAACAGTCAACATAGAGAGTTACTTACACATTGATATCATGTAAATGATTGAAGCCTTTACGATTTTACAAAGGACTGAGATGAATATACGGTGTGAAATATACACGGGAGTTTGAATTAATCTTTAACCCCTCCATCTATGTTATGTTCGTGGGAGGCGGGACTAAAATAAAACCCATTGCGACATCTGCAGGTGGTTGGTCTAAGCGACCCTTGTCTGGTGTGAGCTCACAACCGAGTTGGGCATGGCACTGCAAGTCCCCTGAGCGTATTACAGCAGGGTGGTGGCACTGTGGTTGCCACCTCCAAGGTACAACAAAAACTGAGATATATCACGCAAAGAAGAATGCAACCACAATACCGAAATATGTGAGAAACACGGTGAAATTCATTGACTTGAGTGGTGGATTTGTAGCGCCGTAAATGGGCTGCAAATATCCGCAATGGCGGACAGTGCCCATCAGGGGCGGTACAACTAAAATGGCGGGAAAAACCGTTAGGATTCCTAGCCTGGGGGGGAGGGGGCTGCGGGGTATTCTACGATCCCCCGCAGACCCCTCCCAACGGGTGGGGGCTGTGGGGTGTTCTACGATCCCACAGAGCCCCGCCCCTTGGCATAGAAACTGTATATAAGGAGGGCCTCTGGAGAGGTTAGAGGCAGTTGCAGCTGAAGATTGAAGACTGAAGACCGAAGACTGAAGGCCAGCGAGACAAGGACCCTGGACCCTCGAGCCCGCTGCCCTTATAAGGGCCGGGTCGAGCTTGGACCTCCATTGCAATCTATTAAGGTATCCAGAGTGAACAAACTAGTTGCGCTCGACATCTTGGGGCCTTTCCCTGTTACTCCTAGGGGTAACAAGTACCTCCTGGTTCGGGTTGAATATTTTACCCGCTGGCCTATGGCTTGGCCACTACCCAACCAGTCGGCGGCAGCCATCACGGACGCCTTCCTCCAGGGCTATGTCCTGGATAAGGGTGCTCCAGAGCGGCTGCAGACCGATCAGGGAAATAATTTTTCGTCCAAACTGCTGCGTGAGGTCTGCGACTTGTTGGGCACGCACAAGGTACGCACCTCCCCTTATCACCCTCAAACGGACAGCATGGTGGAGCGATTTAATAGGACTCTCACCGCCATGCTGAGCCACCAAGTATCCGACTCACAGATTGATTGGGATCTCCATATCCCCGGGGTTCTGGCCGCCTATCGGTTGGCTCCTCATGCGGCCACGGGCTTTTCACCATTCTATTTAATGTATGGCAGGGAGGCAAACCCCCCGGTGGATATTCAATTACGCGTCGCTCAGGAGTTCCCTAAATCCAAACTTTCCCAGCACATTCGGTCAAATGTCCACAAGTTGATGGAAGCAAGAGAGGCGGCTAAACATAATTCAGAGACCCGCCAATTGGCCAATGAGCGCCTGCGGAATCTCAAAGTTTCCTCACATACATGGTCCCAGGGTGACAGGGCATGGCTTCACTGTCCTCAAGTACCATTGTCCACGTCACCCAAACTTTTAAAACCTTGGAGGGGGCCCGTCGATGTCGTGAAGGTCGTTCGGCCACAATGTATAAAAATTTGCCATGGTAAACGATGCTGGGTTGTGCACCCGTCGTGCTTGAAACCCTTTTTACCATTTCTTGATACTCCAACTACACAAAGGGGCCGAGAGCGTGAATTGTCCGATGAGCCGAGTCATGCGGTTGCCAAGCCTAACTCTCAGTATAGCCGTGTGCTTACCCCCTCAGACCCCTCAAGAGTAACGACACCACGGAAAACTGCTACGGCCACACAGATCGCCTCACGCCCAGCTGACAACTCACCTCAAGGCCACCACCCGAAGCTCCCGACGAACACAAAAAATCTTCTTCCTCCAGCAGTGCACAACGGACCGTCAACCAGGACCCGATCAAAATTTCGCAATTGTTGTACAAGTTGAGACGGCTGAATGCTACGTTGTGGAGGGGGGGGGGGGGGGGGGGGTGGTGATGTAGCACCGTAAATGGGTTGCAAATATCTGTACGATCCCCCGCAGACCCCTCCCAACAGGTGAGGGCTGTGGGGTGTTCTACAATCCCACAGAGCCCCGCCCCTTGGCATAGAAACTGTATATAAGGAGGGCCTCTGGAGAGGTTAGAGGCAGTTGCAGCTGAAGATTGAAGACTGAAGACCGAAGACTGAAGGCCAGCTAGACCAGGACCCTGGACCCTCGAGCCCGCCGCCCTTGTAAGTGGTCGGACCAGTACCGTACCAGGGTCGGTCAGGATAGTCTCCCCTAGGTCATGGGTAGCTGTAGGGCGGGCAGCCAGCAGGAGGCAGTGTTACGTCACAATAGCCCGAAGGCTGTACCTTCTTAGCTAGGCGGCGGAAGAGAGTTATTATCTAACCTATAAAAAGCATTTTCTGTCTGTCTGTCTGTCCATCTGTCTGTCTGTCTGCGTATGCTCGCTTGCGGGGGATGTGGCCCTCGGACCGTGGGGTTCGCGTAGAAAAAAAATTGCCGGGCGACACGCCCAGGGCCCCGTGCTTGGCATAGACTATTCTGTTTTCCCATCCCTAAACTTTAAAGTGGTTAAAATCGCGTTTTGGTGCGATTTATCTATATTTATTTATTTACATTTGCCGCCCGGCTCGCTGCTGCGCATGCGCGAAACGCCGACGCGAGTTGTTGCCCCTGGCAACGCACTCACGTCGTCGCTGCAGTGTGGACGCCATTTCTCATTCGCGTTCAAAATGCAAAACATGTACACGCAACGCTGAGGTAAATTCATAAAAGTGTCACGCCCTCTTCTCTCCACCCCAATGTGTACACTTACTATTATAGGGTCGGTAGATACTAAAATTATAGCGATTAAATAGTATTATTGTAGCGTGGGGGGGGGGGGGGGTGGTAGCGGCCCAGCCCACAGCCTCCGCCGGCCGGGCAATCTAGGCGAGGCCGGGGGCTCTGCACGGGACTAGGCCTCGTCACGGCACTGTCAGGTGAGTACTTTGTGCTATAGAGTCGATATATACTGCTACTAGCGGGAAAAATATATATTTTTAAAACGTCTAAAACTTAAAAACATAACATACAAATGAAAAGATAACTCATTAATTTAAAATAAAATAAAACCCGAGCACGCCAAGAATCGATTCTTTAAGTCGCGCCAAGGAATCGAAGGTTGTAGATTTCTTTAGAATCGTCTTGAAGCGACGACGCGCAACAGAACCATCCTTGATAAACCAGCAAATCTTAAACAGAAAACGTATTTCGATTTAAAGCTTTCGTGACTGCAAGGATTAATCTTCTTTGGTTCTTTCGTTAAAGTCACGTAGAATGAGAATAAAATAATAAATTAATAAAATAAAATAACAATTCTCACGACGTTTCGGCCACAACACAAGTGGCCTTCATCAGGTGAAGGGACGAGACTGTCTGGAGGACAGCGCTGGAGCGAACACAGCCAAGCTCAGACCGCGACCTTTAAGCTGTGTGAGAAGAAACAGAGCGCCTTGACAAAGGAATTAGCATAAAAAATAGCATTTAATTGTTAAAGTCAAAGCCTACACATCCACAGAGGCACCTAGTACAAATCAAACAGGAGAATTTAGCATTGCAATAGCTGAGTGATTAGCTTGTGACTGGTCACAGAAATGGCTATGTTAAAGTCAAAGCCTACACATCCACAGAGGCACCTAGTATAAATCAAACAGGATAATTTAGCATTGAAATAACTGAGGGATTAGCTTGTGACTGGTCATAGAAATAGCTATGTTAAAGTCAAAGCCTACACATCTACAGAGGCACCTAGTACATGGACGCCAAAGGGGCTGCAACCACTCGACTATCATATAGTAAACCGATGTGAAAAAACCTAAGTCTAAATTACATCAATATAATAAATGTACTCAATATATTCTTCAATAAGCTGAGCTATTAACAGTAACTGGGTATACACTACACTATATAATGAATACCATATAGTAAACCAATAAAAACTAAAATATAAACTACCACAATGTTATCAATAAACTCTATATTCTCCAATCAGCTAAGCTACCAACAATAAGTCGTTATATATCACAATGCTATATGGCGAAAAAATGGGTGGATTCTTAAACTGCTAAAGTTGAGGGTAAGAATCCACCCATTTTTTCACCATATAGTATTGTGATATATAACGACTTATTGTTGGTAGCTTAGCTGATTGTAGAATATAAAGTTTATTGATAACATTGAGGTAGTTTATATTTTAGTTTTTATTGGTTTACTATCTGGTATTCATTATATAGTGTAGTGTATACCCAGTTACTGTTAATAGCTCAGCTTATTGAAGAATATATTGAGTACATTTATTATATTGATGTAATTTAGACTTAGGTTTTTTCACATTGGTTTACTATATGATAGTCGAGTGGTTGCAGCCCCTTTGGCGTCCATGTACTAGGTGCCTCTGTAGATGTGTAGGCTTTGATTTTAACATAGCTATTTCTATGACCAGTCACAAGCTAATCCCTCAGTTATTTCAATGCTAAATTATCCTGTTTGATTTATACTAGGTGCCTCTGTGGATATGTAGGCTTTGACTTTAACATAGCCATTTCTGTGACCAGTCACAAGCTAATCACTCAGCTATTTCAATGCTAAATTCTCCTGTTTGATTTGTACTAGGTGCCTCTGTGGATGTGTAGGCTTTGACTTTAACATAGCTATTTCTATGACCAGTCACAAGCTAATCCCTCAGTTATTTTAATGCTAAATTCTCCTGTTTGATTTGTACTAGGTGCCTCTGTGGATGTGTAGGCTTTGACTTTAACAATTAAATGCTAATTTTTATGCTAATTCCTTTGTCAAGGCGCTCTGTTTCTTCTCACACAGCTTAAAGGTCGCGGTCTGAGCTTGGCTGTTCGCTCCAGCGCTGTCCTCGAGACAGTCTCGTCCCTTCACCTGATGAAGGTCACTTGTGTTGTGGCCGAAACGTCGTGAGAATTTTATTGTGTTAATTTATTTTATTAATTTATTATTTTATTCTCATTCTACGTGACTTTACCGAAAGAACCAAAGAAGAAAAAAACCGTATTACAATGCTGTGTGCTCAAATCCCAGTGTGATGCAAGTCAAACAATAACAACCATAAGATTAACCATATTTTTTCTAAATCACCAAAATAAAGCGAGAAAAACAGTAATCATAGGAACTGTGATTC